GTCATCCGTCGTCTCCATGTCCAAGGTACCGATACGTCGCATCCACATCAGGGAGGCACGCCGTACCCGTGGGCCTCGGAGTTTGGTGCCTGAGAAAATGACGTCTCTTCTCGATGGACCTTCCTTCTCTCCCAAATTCCCATAGCTGAGAACAACACAAAGGCTCACGAGGGTCACGAAACAGAGTTGGGCCGGGCGAGGTTCCCCTTCCTGCTCTGCTCCTGGAGCATCTTTTACCTCCACTACCAGAACGGAGTATACATGGACAACAATACGGATAATCCTGTTACGGACCACGGTAGAGCAAGTTGAGGGGCAAAGTGGTACAGGGGTTGTGACTATACTTGGACGTGTCTCCTGAGTCCTGAACATGGTGGGATGGGGTCAAAAGCTCAGAATAACTCACCTGGTAATACCGCGGCACTTGTCACGGACTCTACGGATAGAGTCTAACTAATAAGTTACCTTTTCATTTGTTCCAGGAAAAGCCCATGGTGAACAATCGCAGTCTCGCGGCATGAAAGGCCATATTGCAAAAAAAAAAAAAAAAAAAAAAAAAAAAAAAGCCCATTACCATTACGACTTACATTGAACCGCAGTGGCGATAGCTAGCATCTTCCTTCAAACAAGATATCTTGATGCAGGGCATTTCCCTCTCTATAGAACCAACCAGTATGTCATCTGTCCCATCTTTGACCATCCCATCAGCACATCGGTCGATTGAATCCTTCATTCCACCCACCTATCCGTAGAGGCTACGCAAGTGTGCACAGGACACAAGGCACACACACGCACTCTCTCTGTCTCTCTCTCTCTCTCTCTCTCTCTTTCTGTCCCTTTTTCACATACATTTACTTTCACCATAATAGACATGACACACATGCCTTGCCATTAGTCGAGCGGAGTCAGTCAGCCCACGAAGCTAGTGCCACTTCGAAGGGGAAGCAACCTGGACAAAAAGTGAAGGATGTCGACGAGACGAAGAACATGACAAAGTATCCGTCTGAGGCAGGTGCAAATAGAAACCTGAGGACGGAGGACGGAGAACTGAAGGACCTGCCCTGGTACATCCCCCGCCCCTTCTGCTCCTGTGCTTCGTGAGGTGGGCTCCTTCCCTTCCATTCTGTTCGCAATGACAGAGAAAAGATACGTACCTGTCGCCCTGGGTGTGAATGGAAGATGGGAGGAGGAAGGAGGAAGGTGTGGATTCTCTGGGTTTGAATGTGGGCCTGAAGTCTCCACCCAAGAAGCTGCAGATGTTTCAGCTGATGTCCACTCCTCTTGTCATTAGAGACAGCAATGGAACGTTGGGCGAAAAGACTCAGGAACACCTCCAACGGTCACCCCAGCTCCCTCCGACTTTCTCACGCTTCTCTGCCACCCCCGGTCATCGTCTTTTACACTTCACCGTGAAGGCTTGTCTCGGTTTGCCCAATCTTGTCCAGCTTGCAGCGGATAACCTCAGCTTCCGGCCGCCGCACACGGGACGAAAGATCTCAAGTCTGCGAGGTCCGCGAGACGGAGACCAAGATTACACACGCCTCCAGCTACACTATGCACCTATGGCACTCTTTGTACCTTTTTCACTTTTACTCAGGACAAAACGGCGATCGCAAAACGTCCAAAGGGAAACAAGCTTGCGTCGGGGCCATGGGACGCCAGAACAATATCGGCGTGCGATGCGAGATTTTCAGAAGACCAGACGCTGGCTTGACACGCCGAAGCACCCGCAGGTGCAAAGTCTCGAGCTTCTTTCCCCCTTCAGAGGGCTTAGTCCTAGCTTGACGGAATACGGCATGCTCCAGAAGTGTTTCTACTCGTTCCGCTACCGTCTCTAATCCTGCCCGTTGCTGGCGGAAGCATCACAGCAGCAGCAGCAGCAGCTGACAAGTGTCATCGCATCGTCCATCATCACCGATCATCATCTTGAGCGACCAATAGCCCACACTAGCCAGCTGTTTGCTGACCGACCGAAGTCTGGACCGGCTCCGATTAAGCAATGACTAGCTCTCCCGCTCTCTCGCCCTCTCTGTTCCGCGGTCTTTTGTGCCCTCTTCCCAAGTTTGCTTCACGCTCCGCTGACGAAAGTCGGTGAGCACAGGCATCCATCGCACACGTTGCGAGATGCGCCGGATCGTGGCCAGTCCACCCACTAAAGACGATGGGTGCCACCTAGCGCCTTTTCCGTGGCCTCAAGTAAGTTGCCTTGGTAGCAGCTAAGGTGCCTCAAGCTTGGCTTCCGCTAAGAAGATGAGTTGACGGAGAGGGATGCGACGCAAACTCGGCCCACGGAAGCTTGGGTCGACAAGGTCTAGCTCCAGGGCGCACCCGAAAACCATGGGCACCGGCACCTCCACCAGCTGCATCTAGTTTTTCGTCCTCATTTCTACGACACTGTGAAAAGGGAAAAGAAAAAAAATCAAGCGCCTGCCCGCCCTACGACGCTATCGAGCTACGGACGACACGTCTTCGTCTGAGAGGCTTGATTAGTGGATGCTGTTCCTAGCCCTTCGCCTTCAACACCTTACCCTCGGTCTCGGGCCCGAGGTCTCTGAGCAAAGATACCCGGGGACGGACGAGACAAGACTCAGCTGTCTCCAGGCCCTCTGTGGCCGCCGGGAGACCAGCCCGCCAAACTCCAAAGCCAGCCCAGGTCAACATCCTCTGACAAGGACTGCTGCAGGGTGATATCCCTGCGCCGATCATCTCGAAGCGACAACCTCCCAAGCTTGCACCCTCAGACCCCGGTCTCGAGTGATTTACAATGGTTTCATCTCAACTTTTATCCTCTGCACTAACGCCATCATGATACGAAGAAAGACTCGGGGCCTACTCCAGTGCCACTCATCCAAGCCACTGCCACTTGTCGCTGTCATTTGCCAGCACGAGCTTCACACCATCTCCAGTTTTCCGTCTCCCTTCTTCGCGGATCTTTCTGGTGGCCCCAAGAGTTCGAACGACGAGGGGACGAGGAGTATTCTTCAGCGGCCTGTTCCTTGCGACTACCACGCTGGAAGTGTTGTGGACCGACGCCGTCCCAAATTTTGCTTACGGCCATGCGCCATTGCACACACGTTGCAGAGGCGGCGCCTTGCTAACCACCGTCGGTGCCCGAATCACAAAATATTCCGCGAGACCAACATGGCCCGTATGCACCAGTACGTGCGAGCGGTCGGCAGAAGCGTGTCAGGTGCCTGCAGTGGAAGGCCGCTAACGTTAAGGTTAACCAACCTTGGTCTGGTTGCGCCTGGCCTACTGCGTCCTCTTTACGTACTTGGCTCGACACAATGCAAATGCCTTGGTCTATGTTGGCGAGGCATGCGGTGTTCCTCGAAGCCTTTGAAGCGTGGCGCAAAGCCATTGAGCATACAATAGAGTGTTTGAAGGCCTCAGATGCCAAATGAGGCTTATGGTTTATGGCTATGGCGGCATGCACGACACGACAAGTCAACTCATGTTTTGCCCCGTTCTTTGCGGTCGGCTCATCGACATTGACCATCGGTCACCAGCATGGTCGCAGATTAGCGAGTCAGGCAAGCAGACAGTCATCTGTGATGATGAGCCGAATGCTTGAGCAAGCGAACTCGATCTACCGGACCGCCATCGGTCGGTTCAGCCGCTATCTCATCCCCCACAAGATCCTCCAATTTCCGTCCGCGCCTTGAGACAAACGCCGCTGCCGAATATAGAAGACTGAGAGCTTCCATCGAAGGGCCCGTGGGCACAACAAGCAGCAAGTCACCTGTCTGGGGCCTCTGGGCAACGTTGTTTGTTTCATTCTTTTCGTATTCTGGAAGCTGAGAGTGCCCTTCGCTAAGCCCTTTGACCAAAATTGCGACTGCTTGAGACAAAAACAACATCGGGTTTCCCTTTTGAGTCAGTCGGTCGTAACGTCGTAGCGGTGCTGTGCGTCTCACAGCAACGGTTTGAGAGAGAGCCTGTCCATTCGACCATCAGACTTTTCTTCTCCTTCCCTCCATTGTCATTTGCCCCTTGCTTCAACCGCCCGAGGAAACTTCAGACGTGGTGGACAGGTGTAACTCCATCTTTTCCCCGTCGGTCTTTCTCGACTTTCCCATCCGGCGTTAAGGTCTCACATGTGTCATCGTCTGATGGCGAAACCGAAAAGTTGGGAGGCGGGCCACAAGAGACAAGACTCAAGAGAGAGAAGAGGATGGAGGACACGTCCGATCGCACACCTATCTGTGCTCCCAGACTTCTTCTTCTTCTTCTCTTTGCCTTCGCATCGGCGGCCTGAAGAGGCCAGGGATCAGGGCACCTTTCGGCGTGCAGTCTGAACTTTGAATCTGTCCAGCATGGCGAAAAAACAAAACGGACCAGAGAAATATGCCTTGATTGATCTGTGACAACCACACACATCCTTCTTGAAGAGATGACGATGGTGGGTTGGTCCGTGAGTGAAGATGAAGGTGGCGAATCCGAATAAGAGACGACATGTGCAACTGTCCCTGTCCCCTCTTCCCCGGCCCATGGGACGCCGAGAGCTCCCCGAACACACTCGCAGTGGTGGGCCCCCAACCATCTGGAAACAAAGGCCCGGGTTGATTCCACTACCCTCACGGGCCCGGCCACCCGTAAAACTTGCGGGTCACGGGCTGGATATGAACACGGAGTAGCGATATTGTGTAGTCCTGGGCGGTGTTGATTGACTACAACTTTGGAGATTTCTCTGTCCAGACTGTTGCCTAAATATTTCCAAGCCAGGACAATCGTGTATCGAGGCTTTTCATTGGCCTGCGCCCAGTTGTAATAGAAAGAAAACCCCCTACCTAGGTTTAACTAGCGCCTCACGTAAGATTTCGGAGGAATAGGAGAAGAAGCAACCTCCGAGCAGACCGCCGTAATCCGCACAACGTGACTTATTTTCAATATGCTTTTTGGTGTTTCTTTCAACATTGTAATTGATGGATAGATGTAGGTGAGCTTGTCTTCAACTGCAACGCGGCCATTGTGATTCGCGCGGGTTGCTGAGGTCCATCATGTCCCTTGGAGAACACAGCCAAAACAAGGATACGCATCCCAGCACCGCGGCATCAACATCCAACGAAATGACAACGTCAAGCTCCAATTCAACACCAAAGGGTGATACGGTTCCGGTTCCGGATCTTCCGCCGGGCACATCGATGCGCCTCAACATCGTCATCCTCTTCATGGGCTCGCGCGGCGACCTCCAACCCTCCCTGGCCGTCGCCGAGCTCCTGCAGCGCCGGCACGGCCACCGCGTCCGCATCGCAAGCCACCCGCCGTACCGCGCCGCCGTCGAGGCCGCAGGGGTCGGATTTTATAGTATCGGCAGGACGGACATCAAGACCATGATGGAGAGGAGGTTGCTTCCGCGGAAAGAGCTGAATGCGCTTGTGCCGGTTATTCGGCAGGAGTTTCGGGAGATGGGGGAGAGGTGGTGGGGGGCTTGTGTTGATGGGTTTGGGTTTGATCATGATGTTGAGGATGGAGTGGATGGAGGAGGAGAAGGAGCTGGGGGAGGGGAGAGGGGAGCATTTGTGGCGGATTTGGTCATGTCTACGATGCATGTGTATAACCAGACGTCTGCGGCGGCGAGGCTGGGTGTTCCGTTGCACCTATTTGGGATGAATCCGAGGATCTTTTCGAAGGAGGTGCCGCATTCGCAGGCTGGGTGGGCTTTGAAGGGGCCTAGTCGGTGGAAGAATGTTTTGTCCTGGTGGGTTCAAGATTTTATGTGAGTTTTTTCTATTCTTCTTCTCTGTTCTTTTCTCCTTATACCTTGTTTTACACGGTTTGTTCTTCGTCCCCCCCCCCCCCCTTGGATTCGGCGCCCATATCATCACATTATCAGAGCAGCTACGGCAGGGCGAGGTGATAACTTAGAAGGAAGGGGCTCATACTACGTTCTTGAACTAACACACCAACAATAGGTTCCTCGAAGCAATGAAATCCGTCATCAACGATGTCCGCGTCAACGTAATGGGCCTGGAGAGCATGTCGCCCGCCTGGTGGCTGAGCCAGTACAACAGGATGAATGTTCCCTGCACGTACCTCTGGTCACCGAGGCTCCTCCCGAAGCCTACAGATTGGGCCGACAACATTGACGTCGCGGGCTTTGTATTTGAGGATGTATCACCGGAGTATACGCCGCCTCCGGAGCTGGTTGCGTTCCTGGAGGCTGACCCGGAGACGCCGCCGGTGTATATCGGGTTCGGGAGCATGTCGTTTGCGAATGCGCAGGACGTGTTTGAGGGGGTTTTTGAGGCGGTGAGGAGGGTCGGAGTCAGAGCTGTTGTCGGGAAGGGGTGGTCGAACTTGGTCAAGGAGGATGTTGGACGGCCTGGCAAGGGTGATGGTGGGAGTCAAGAGGGCAGGATCGGCGAAGAGAGAGACATGTCACACATCTTCATCGTCGATGAGGCGCCGCACGCGTGGCTGTTTCCCCGGGTCAGGGCCGTGGTGTGTCACGGGGGAAGCGGGACGACGGCCATAGCGCTCCGGAGCGGGCGGCCTACGCTCGTTGTGCCCGTTGCTGGGGATCAGCCGTTTTGGGGCTCGAGGGTCCACGCTGTCGGGTGCGGGCCGGAGGCAAAATATGGGTTGGCGGAGATGAATGGCGAGAGGTTCGAGGAAGGGCTGAGGGAGCTTTTGAAGCCGGAGTACGCGGCTGCTGCTAAGAGGTTTGCGGTTGCGGTGAGGGCGGAGAGGCCTGGGGAGGAGGTTTGTGTTGAGAAGGTGCTTGAGACGATGGGGGTTTATGAGAGGGAGGGCAGGTGTATTGTTTATGATGGACGGCCTGCTGTTTGGAAGGTAGTTGCGACGGGGAAGGGAGAGGGAGGAGAAAGGAAGTTGTCTGCTGTTGCGGCGCATGTTCTTGTTGAAAGTGGGAGGATTAGGAGGGAGGATTTGAGGGTGTTGCAGGTGGTCAAGTGGCCTGATTTGACGGGGCCTGGGGACCCGGTGACGGGGTTGGTTCTCGGGGTGCAAAAGGCGTTTGGAAGTGTTGCTGCGGATGGGAGGACGGGGAAATGGGGACGGTTGGGGCTCCATGTTTTGAGAGGTGAGTTTTTGCTGCTTTCTCGTAATTCTCGTGATGTTGTTGCATTTCACTCGTGTGGTTGAAACTATGACTGACTATTGATGTCCATAGCTCCCCTCACGATCTTGGCCGCCGTGGCGTTTGGCCTCTTCAACCTATTCGACTTCGTCCTCTACGAGCTCGCCTCGCCTTTCGAGCCGAAGCTCTACGCGAGTAACCCGCGGCTGTACTCCTACCCGCGCATGCTCCTCTTCCTCCTATCCGCGCCCTTTATCGAGCTCGCTTCCGTCGTGACGCAGCCGCTGCGTTTCCTAGCTGAGAGAAGAAAAGGAGGAGGAAAGGGGGCCGGAAGAAGAAGAAGCTTGCTGAGGGTGATCCTCGAGGTGCCGCTGGCGCTTCTGAGGGTGCTTTTGGCGCTGGTCAATGTTTTCGTTGGCGGGCTTGGTATCACGCTTCGGCAGCTAGAGCTTTCTTGTGCGAGGGCTATGGGGGAGAGGCCCGTGGGGGATATTGTTGCCGAGGCCAGAGTTCGACAGGGGAGGATCGAGGCGGAGGAGTTGAGGTTTGAGGGGGTGGAAAGTGGTAGGGATTTGGTGGGGGATATTGTTAGGAGGTGGGATGAGCGGAAGAAGGCTTGAGTAGCTGTTGTTAGTACTATTCAATACTGTACAATAATATGATCACTTTGCAATCAAGGTTTAAGGTGAGCGGATAGTGCTTTGGGCTGGCAGGATGGGCATCAGGGCCTCTTCCGGTGGCTAGAGTCGAGTAGCACTGCTAAGGCATATGTTTAAAAGCAGCTTCGGGTCGATGATAATAAGCCTGTGGCGGATACATCCAGCCCATTTCGTTACACGAAAGTTCATCTTACCCTCAGGCCTAGAAAAGAAAAGGGGCGTGTAAGTAGAGCATATCTAAGGATAAGAATATTCTCCGATACGTGTTACGTCGTGACACGGGACTTGCAGCTACCGTACTGCGGGTAGCCGGCGCCCCGGGCCACGTCAACTTCTTGTGTTGCCAGTTATGGGATAAGGCGAGGTAGGGTTCGGTTGGCTGGTAGTATAGCTGCGTGCGTACCGCGTACGGGCTCGGGATGTTTTTCTCGCACCTTGGCCACGCAGGCGGCGTGCGGTTGTGGGACACGATCGAGGTGGGTGTTGGGTTGATATGGGGAGCGTTTGATCGTATCTGTCGGTCAGCCGTTCTTCCCGCTGGAAATTTGCTATGTTTGGCTCGGTAGTTGGATCCAGACTAAGTTGGTCCTTGCAGTGTGCCGTTCACTTGGTTCTTCACAAGAGCTTTCAACCAATACTGAGATTGAGGATGAAAGCTCTCATTTCTAGACTTCAAGGCAATGATGGCGGGCCTAGATGGCCTCCGTTGGGGTTAAAATTGCAGTGTAGATATCGGTGACAACAGGGAGTTTGATTGGCAAGAAAGTTGTATTGTGGAACTTCAGCTAGCCAATGCGATAACTTGAAATCACCGATTATGACAATTCTCATGTGAGATGGATTATTTGGATGAACATCTTGCACATCAATGTGTTGTTCTCAAATCCTCCTCTTTTTCTCCCTCACAAAACCAAAAGTCGAAAACTCAAAACCCTTGGAAGAGTTGATCATTCCCAGGAGAAATCACTGCAAACTCTATGGACCCGAAGAACTATTCCTCTATGGCTGGAGTCTATATGACCTTCTCCGTGACACTGGGTCTCATCAAGTCAATCCACTTGGAAAACAATTTGAAATGACCGCCAGTTCAGGTTATTAAGCAGAGATATCGTGAGTACTCGTATATTCTACGTGAAATCTGCCGTTGGCCTTGGGAAAGTTGGCCGTTGTCTTCCGGAACTACACGATCCACTTGCATAACTTACAGGAGACCATGAGCCAGATTGAAGAGAACGTGCTATCTTTTGACAGTAGTATTTTAACCACTACTGACAATTTTTGATAATCATACTAAACTATTCACCAGTGAACTTGACAAGTTCTTAAAAGCAATTGTGTTGATGTGATAAACTGGGTGCATAAAGGGGTTATGCATGTAGCAGATGTCAGACGCTTCCCCCACCTACCACATTCGGCGATGACGCCTGCAGTGCTCAACGCGACTCCATGCGGTCCACGCGATCGCCCACGAACCTCCCGGCGCCAGCTTGCGCCTTCACTTCAACTCAGCATTGGATTCTCCCGCCCAACCCGCTTGAAATTACAGATTTCTAGAGAGAAGACCTCCGCGATGACCGCGCTTCTTCTCGCCTTTCAATTCCCAAGACGAAGACGCGGTCCATTTGGCTGACCCCAATGACGCAACCACCGCCATCTGTGAGTCTTCTCAACACTGCGCCGCGGGCCGTCGCTCATTAAACATTTTCTTTACAGACACCTACACCTCGTCGATTTCTGCTTTCCAAGAGACCTCAGGGGTCGCGGCAGCAGACACCAGGCAGCGGCCCGCCCGTCTTCGCCGGCAGCCAGCGCTTCCAGCCCACGCCCCGGTTCGCCCCTCCATCGTCGACTCAGCGACCTCCCGCGACACCCGTGTTCCCTGGTTCACTTCGACCGTCGAGACACCGAGACCCGATTCATGATGTTCTAGATAGTTCCCCGACAGATGCGCCCGTCTCGGCGACGCGACCGACGCTAGGAGCCGGGACGCAGAGGCAGAATCCCAGGATTGACATCGACTCTGACGTCGGTAGCGATTCGCCGTCGCAGGTGGACCAGGATGAGCTGCCGTCGATGGCTGTTGCGGTGAACGATTCGATCGAGATTGAATCAGAGCCGCCTAGTGTTCTATACAGCGAGACTGAGGAGAGGACACCAAAGAGGAGAAGGATTTCGGTCTCGCCAGCATTGAGCTGGCAGGAGGAGCCAAAGGAAGATGTTGCCATGGGATATGAAGAGGAAGAACCTCTTCCTGGAGAAAGCGGATACAGTGACGAGCAGCTGCCGGATGCCGATGATGAGGCTTGCTTCGACGAGGATGCGCCCAAGACTGATGACGACTTAGCTGTTCCTCAGCGCGCTGCCGGAGACCCGGTCAAGACACAGCCGACCTTTCATCGCGCTCCCCGCTTCAAGCCGTCCGAATCGGAAGTTATTCGTCAAGAAGGCCTACCGGAGGCTTTCTCGCCACAGCGACGAGGCGCAAAGTACGTCGCCGGGGGCCTCGCGGCAGAGCTGCAGACTTGGCTGGCAGAGGTCAAGGGCTGGACAGGCAGCGACCGTCCTGCGGACCTGGTCATGAGCATTGCCGTTGACGTAGTTCGTCATGGGAATAGAATGTACCTCGTTCGGGGACGGAGGATTTTGGGTGGTGGGGAAGCGAGCGAGGAGATTGCGGCGCGGCTCATGCTTGCTGGGGAGGGGCGATTAACGGGCTTAGGACATAAGGCTCCTGTTGTCGTGGGTAGCGTCGTTGCGATCTCCCAGCCTGCGTGGGAGATTGAGTTGCAGGATGGTAGATGGATCGTCGCATGCGATTGGGCGGTCTCGTAGAAGAAATGAAACAGAATTGAATACACATCAGCAACACTGAATTGCTGCATTTTTGCAAATGGACAGACTTTGTGAAAACAGTTTTTGCAACATAGCATCAAAACTAGGTCACAAGAAGCTACGGCCTGTAACTTCAGTCAAGCCGAATTGCCCTGTCTGGTTCTGAAATCTCCTGCTTTGCTTTCTTTCTGACTATCTGTGCGATCACCAAGTTTCATTTCCAATCATCAGCCTGACATTGACTACTTCATATATCCCAGGACGATGGTGGAAGTTCAACTCGCTATATGCATTAAACTACCTTATCAAATGCATGTATCCGTAAACCCTCAACCCATAGTCCAACAAAGTCATTCGCCAACCTGAATTAAGGCTCCACTTTACTCAGCAGCTCAGGAGACGTTGAAGGCCATCAAAATAAGATGCGCCGGTTGAAGCAAGGCAGCTTCACCCGTGGATAAGAAACCTTACACAAATTACAATGTCTTGCAAATAACCAGAACATCATTCGAAATAATGACGTGGCTGGCCCTTCGACCAGCCGCCTTCGCGCGGGTACCGGCCACAACGACATGCCGGCCAGGCGTGCGCTTATACTCCGGCGCGACGACCGGCGCCGGCCGCGTCTCGGACCCGCTCCGGATCCTCTTCTGCGGCTCGGACGACTTCAGCTGCGCGGCACTGACCGCGCTGACCGTAGAAAAGAAGCGAAACCCGGCACTCATTGAGTCGCTGGAGGTCGTTGTTCGGCCAAGCAAGCTGTCGGGGAGAGGGATGAAGAATGTTCGTGAGGGTATGTGCGCGCCGCCTAGACACTCATGAGGTCGATGAGACTGGATGACAAGGCAGTGAGCTGACAGATGGTGATAGTTCCGTTGAAGACCCTCGCTCAGCAGCTCAGATTACCGATTCACGTGAGAGACACGTTTACCAAGTGGCAGGTACTGCGACTCCATTCCCCATCACCCAAGTGCCATCAAACTGACGTACGTAGCCGCCCAGTAACTTCAATCTCATCGTTGCCGTCTCCTTTGGTCTTTTCGTACCTCCGAGATTACTCAAGATGGCAAAGTACGGAGGGCTGAACGTTCACCCATCACTGCTCCCCGAGTGAGTTTCATCCATGTTTGCCTCCCCGTCGTCACACAGCCCTCTTAACCACCAAACCCTCCAGCTTCCGCGGCCCCGCGCCCCTCCAACATACGCTCCTAAAAGGGCGCACGTACACAGGCATCACGCTTCAAACCCTGGATCACAAAGACTTTGATCACGGCGACATTCTGGCTCAAACACCGGTCCCAGGCATCCCGATCCCGGAAAACTGCAGCACGCAGCAGCTGCTCGACATTGTCACGCCGCCGGCCGCCGAGATGCTCGTCGACGGCCTACGTCGAGGTCTCCACGTCCCTCCGCACATGAACGTCGGCTGGACAAATTTCCCCGAGGGCTTCAGGGAGGACTCATGTGAAGCACCCCAGCACGCGCCCAAGATCACGAACCACGACCGCTGGTTTGCTTGGTCGGAGTGGACCGCCGACGATGTCGTGACTCGGCAGCGCGTGCTAGGCGGCGTCTGGTCCTCTGCGATCAACCAGACCACGGGCACGGAGAAGAGGATCAAGTTGGGACGGGTAGACGCCGTGCCCCTCGAGGACATGCCTGAGCACATTAAGCATTTTACTCGACGGTTGAAGGTGTACAAGAAAGAACGAAGAATTGCTGACGATACAAAGCCGGAGGATGGTACAAAGGTAAAGCTCGTCAATTGGATTCAGGGAAAGCAAGACGGATGTTGGAAAGTGCTTCAATGTCCCTTTTTTGAGCACGAGGACGGGAAGAGCATTTTGATTCCCCTTGTTAAGGGCGAAAAGGTACTCAAGGTGTCGACCATGATCATCGAGGGCTTCGCGGAACGTGCTGCCGTGAGCGCCATCAAGAGCTTTGCCGTAGTCGGAAATGATCATACTGAGGAATCTACCGGCAGGCCCTGGGAATTTATTCTTTTTCCCTTTTAGATGTCAGTGTTGTCGGTGTACGATAGTCAAATATAGTGATGAGGCTGGTCACAGTTTACTTCCAACTATCACAAACTACTTATCTTTCCATGGGTTTGGCGAAACTTCTGGCTTGGTCAGTGGATAGGGAATCGCGATAACATGTTCTTGCGGCTCATGAAACCTTGCCATGGAGGACGCTCCAGATTTGGTATCTGTTCCAAATACCTAAGATATGTCGAGATTGGAATTGGGTCGGTGAGGAATACCCTACAGCATTGGGGTCCTCCTACATGTTATAATGACCCATAGACTTGCGAAGAAACGCCCTCAAAACTACTCTCGTATGAGTGATTATAAACACAGACCTTCCAATAGCGAACCTCCATTTTGTTAGCACAACTTATTTATCTTCTTCGCTAGATCTTACCTTACCTTTTAGGCAGTTTCTTTCGAGGCTTGGTAGGGAGTTCGAGCGATTTTGGGTTGAGGAAGGCGCCTTAGACTTGGTTGTGGCCGCTCCTTCCACAGCCATATCACTGCTTGATACCCACTTGAAAATCAGCTGAGCTGGCAGTCAGTCTCGCAGTTTGATTCCTCCCTCGTCGACGTCTAACTCATCTTCTTACCCTTCTGCCCGTTCGCTCCCTCCTCACATCGGCCCTCTCCTCCGCTCTGGCGTCCGGAGCCAACTAACCAAATATTACCACGTTCTCTGTTTTCTTCTCTCGCCAATATCCGGCCTCTTCCATGTAACTCTTACTCTTTCTAGGGCATTTAGTACTTCAAACAAAAGACATGGGAACTGACAGTATCTTAGAAGCTTTCTTGCGCAGGCAGAAGATACATACTCCAGAGCCTTCGCAAACACCTACGGCATCACCATCAAAGCTACCAACACATTCAACATGTCTCCTGTATTCTGCTCCCCTCAAGCAACCACAGAGGGTTTTCAAGATGACGACCCTCGACCAGCCGAGACAACCACACCGAAGTCCCAGAGATCTTCTGTCTTCTCCTCTACAATCTCCCCAGGCTCATATCAGAGCTCAGTGTCGGTCGGTCTCGTCGAGCCTCCCCCGTTCCGCCGTTCAATGGCCCCGATGCCCAAGCCAAAGACTACAGAGCAGCTGCCAGGCAGGTACTCGCAATGCCATCTCGCCACACCACAGCCACAGTTCCGTCGCTCGACTGCCCCAAGCCTGAGTGGCTATACTGAGACTCTGAGGGCTCAATCTCAAGATGTCCAGACTTCAGTCAACCACGGCGAAGGCTCCACTGGCGAACGCGTCACTATCGAGGGGCCCTCGCGCGAAGCGACGGCAGGTACGATCGATCTCGTAAATGAGGTTGACGACCAAATTCCTGGCGACCATACAGCTGCCGAGAATAGCAAGTGTTCTCCGATGGGTGTCCGAAGCCCCACGTGGAGTCTGCTGACCGCATCTCCTATCGCTCGCCCCCCTACCGTCGCCGAAGTCGACGACGACGACATTGGCCGTGATCCGGTTCCGTCTTCTCCCGGAAAGTCCGCCGCAACGCCCACCTTCCAGAAAGCGTTGACTTTCGGAGCGGAGATACTGAAAGATTACCACGACGACAACATCACAAGCACCCCGTCACCAAGGCGAACCCGAAGTGCCAGGAAGGCCCGGGGTTCCAACTCTAGACCAGAAGTCAGGGGCGGCCGGACCGGCAGTCGCCGGGGACGCCGAGCTAGACCTCCTGCTCGGTGGTCTCCTGTAATGCCTTGGACTTCCGCTGAGAAAGCCGCCTTCCATGGTGAGTTACAACAGAGGATTGCGGTAATCACTTGCGGTACAGACATTGATAACGGTCTCCTGGATGTGTCATGCGACTACTTCGACATGTAGAGCATTTCTTCCCCCTTTTCTTTTTTTTTTCTTGATTGGATGGATTAAGGCTTTTTCAACCCTATTTAAGGTGCCACACCATTACACCGGTATGTTGTTATTCAAAATGTATTGAGACATCTATTAATTCTGATAAGCGATATGACCCTTGAGTCTGAAACGCCTGCAGGAGCTTTTCAGGCGCTACTCGCATGTCTTTTGCCGGCCATCTGAGCATTCAGTAAATTGCTTCCCAAGTTTTCTCTTGTTTTTTCTTTCTTGCAAAGTCGGTAGGAAGATCAATCATTTATGTCTCAGTTACCATGCTAATGTCTATTCAGGGCGATTTGAAGTTCCATCAGCCCATAGATTGCCCACCATCTGGCACACCATCCCAATGAGCATGGCGATCTCGGACATGGTAATGATACGGGAAACATTTGACAAAATCTTCTCTAGTACTAGGAGCCAAGCTAATAAAGAAATCGAACGAATTGGTACAGCAGACAAAGATCCTGGGAACTCGATTGCGGAAACTTGGAACTAAACAGATCACACATCGGTCACACCTCGACAACCTGGTAACGACTGTAACTTTCCAATTTTCTCTTTGCTCTACCAACACATTACCCTTGAGCCACTCATTACATATGAATATAATCATAGCTTGGAGCCCATCTAACGTCAGACTGACCAAGTCAGGTCTACGTCGAGCCATCCGAATGAGTGAAACACTAAGATGTATCCCCAGCTAATCGACAGCGGTTTTGTACAAGACGCGCGCATGCATCATGGTCGTGGCGAATGGCGCCGGCCTCCCCCGCGTTGTTACTCGAGACCGACGACCACGTTTATGCCCCGCAAACAAGTTCCAACTCACACCGATCCGATAATTTACATCATCAGGCCGACGACAACGCTGACAACGGCAGCCAAGCTGAGGGCACCAGCGGCTCTGACACCGGCTGCGCCGCTGTCGATACCGTTCTGGCTGTTGTTGGATCCGCCATTGCTGCTGCCCTTGCCGGCCTTGAGCTGCTGGCAGACACCCATGAGCGTAGAGTTGTTCATCATGGCGTTGAGCTTGGCCTCCTGCTTGGCAGCCTTGGCCTTGAACTTCTCGATCTTGGTGGTGTTGCCCTTGAACTTGTCGTTCAGGGCAGTGTCGTTCTTGGAAAGAGCAACAAGCTTGCTATAAGTACGATGTGGTCAGCATGTTGCTCATCGAATTAGCGCTGAGAGGCGTCACTCACTTCAACTTGTTCATCTGCTTGCACTCTCCCTTGGTGGTCTGAATGGAGCAGTACGAGAGGAGAGTGGTGTTCTTCTGCAGGTCGGTGAGCTTGGCCTGGCCCTTCTGGGCGAAAGCCTTGAGCTTGTCGGCCTTGGTGGCATTGTTCTTGGTGACAGCGTTGAGGGCAGTCTCATTGGCAACCAGCTTCTCCAACTTGTCCATGCGCTTCATGAAGCGGCACTGTCCGTTCTCCTGCTGAACAGCACGAACCTGGTCGCAGGTCGTCATCAAGGTCGAGTTCTTCTTGGCCTCGTCGAGCTTAGGCTGGACCTCGGCGGCCTTCTTCTTGATGAAGTCGATCTTTGTTGCGTTGTTGTTGGTGATCTCGGCGAGGAGAGTATCGTTGCCGGCGATCTTGACCAACTTCTCACCCTTCAGGAAGCGCTTGCACTGGGCCTCTGTCGAGTTCTTGCCGCCACCGCCACCGCCATTGTGGTCCTTGGCCAAGGCCGTAATGGACAGAAGGGGAACGAGGAGGAATGAAAGCTGCATATTGACGGCTGATGGAGTGGAACGTTTATTCGTTTGGGGTGTTTAAAAAAGGCGGTCCGGCCGCAATAAAAGAAAGGCGAGTGTAAAGAAGTGAAGGGATCGGGAGGATGAGATGACCGCAGGTGACAGGACCGTTGGGAGGAGGCTTTTGGGGAAGACGTGGCCAAGTCTTATACCAAACCCTCTCCTACACCCCTCGCGGACTCCCATCCACCGACCCCTGCCGGCTCGCAACCGTCCGTGGATACTCATCCCATCTCCAGCGTCCCCTCTCTTTTACGGCACTCGCACGAAACCGACATACCAAACGCACTCTGGACACCAGCGTAGTCGCTCGCCCGTCCAACGAATCGTCCTTCAGATGGCATGTCTCAACCCCCTCTTCCGCTACGCAGTGCCTGGCCGACTGTGCCCACTCACACCCGGTCTCGCTCTCTTTCGCTCTCTACTCTTTCTACAGTAAGCGCATAGTCCCGAATGAGATGGCGAAAGCCAGAAAAAAAACCCAAATGTCAAATGTCCTGCTTGCTAACCTGGATATTCCTCGGCGTGGTACTGCTCGTTAGTGGTCATGGCTCGAGCGCCGTTTCTCTGGCGTATTCTTCTGTTTGGCCTCACGGCAACACCTGCCGTCGACAGGCCAGATTGCCCTGGTTTGAGCCTCAATCATGTGTTACAAAATCTGTGATCATTGACATTCACAGTTGTTACACGCTATAAACCTGACGTGTCCCCCCCCCCCCCCTCCTCGGAAAGTGGGAGGGCGCTAATGGGCGTAAGAAGAAACATCACGGACTCTTTTTTCCCATGAACGACGTTTTCGAAAACCAGAAGAATTGCCCACGGCACATAGAGAATGCGGCATGTAGATGCCGCCATTGCTACGATAGCCTCCCCCGCCAGCATTTTTAGTGCCTCAGATGCGGCTCAAACGGCATGTTTTGGCAGGCCCCTCTCACTCCAACGTCCATCCCAGCGCCCACGCATTGTCCGTTTCAGACACCCCAGCCCGGACGCGACGAAACACTGCTGATCGATCGACAGCACTACCAAACCATGGAGAAAAGCAAGGTCAGCCTGTCCAGAGTCGTCTCGGCCTCATGGTGTCGCCTCAAGATTAGGACCAATTTGCGTCTACGTGTGTACTGTGAGTGGTCGGTTCGGTTGGGTAGGGGTCGAGGGATGGAGATGGAGGCGAGAGGCAGGGAATCCGCCGCCGTACGACGCCAACCACTCGACTACTCAACACCAGCCCCAGAAACCAAAGAGTCCATTTTTGGACTACGGGCCCTGCGAGCCTACGAGCCTATGTTCTAATCCAAAACCTTGCAGAGACCAAGCTCTGGCAGCAGAATGTCAATCAAGTGTGCCAAGAGGACGAGAGCGCGATGTAACAGAGCAAGCAGATCCAAACGCACATCCCGCCTACGCTACCAAGTCATTCTCTCACCATTCCAGATCAACTGACTAGCCCAGTGTAGATCAGCAAAGACATCTTGGCGATTGCGGCTCAATGCAATACCGTGTCTTGGAGTCTCGAGTTGATATCTTTGATAGTTCGACTTGCGAATTACAGTTTTTCGAATAGAATGCTGTGCGAAGAGGTCGCCTCGTATATACGAACCCTGTGGTCCGGTGTTTTCCAATCTCCTCAACTCTAGTGCTCACTGGCTTGGCCGGAGCGTCGAAAAGGGGTCCTTCGCGGCCGCAGGTGATCTTTTGGGCGAGAATGGACTAGATGGTGAGCTTCCAACGAGCTTCGTCATCTCGTGGCCGGACCAAGCAACGGTTGGCTTGTTCACAAAATTTCATCTCGAGCGTCCTGGCGGGGTCTGTTGTCGTCTGGAAAACTCTGTGTGTCATCCATTCGTCGTCCTTGGCCCCTTCTCACAGGTCTCTCATGCCGTTCGCCTGCAGTAGTGGCGACGGGAAGAGGGGGGTAAGGTGAAGGGATGCAGAGTGGCAGCGGCATCTGTTACCGTTGCTCGCGACCGTGTCGGCGACAAGGGCCTCGTTCTGGCACATGGCGTCTGGCATACGGAGGAAAAGCCAAGAATGGCCAGATTTTCCTCTCCGTTGTGGAATCTGCAGGGCTTTTTCTTTGTCAAAAGCTTGAGCGTGCTTCCGTCTGCTGCATGCTGCAGTTACTGATGCCCGTGATCGACGTCCCCGCAACGTTTCTTCTTGGCTCCTGGCCTCCTTCACGTTGTCTCCTCTGCCTGTCAGAGTTAGGCCCCCCCTCCCCCATATCCCTTGGCACACTAGGCCCTAGGGAAGAAAAAAGGTCCAACACTGACAATGTAACACTGCATCGAAAACCAGGCACACACTCACACACAATGGTCGAATTTAGACCATGGTCGGGTGGGGTAGAAGGACGAGGATGGAGAAGAGGGGAGGGAAGATCTGGCGCGTAAAGGCGAGACTAAGACAAGACGTGTGTCAAGTGGGAACCGGAGGACGAGCGAGTCGCGCAACATGCACCTCACCACAGAAACGACTGGGCATCAAGACCCCGGGACCCTTGTCCAAGGACTCTTCGTCGGAGAAATAAAAATGGCCAACCAGAAACACTTTGCTGTGCGGGAAAAAGAGAGAAAGTCCGGGTTCATGGACCCATCGGCAAAAAAGGCCGACCTGGATTTACAACGAGGGATGATGGCTGGAGAGACAGAGAGGAGAGAAAGGGAGCCCGACGCGGGGAGACAACGTTTTCCCCTTTCCCTGTGCAGGTTCCTGCGAGTTTTTTCCTACGAGAGATCCCTAAACGATGGCGCGCGTCCGTCTGTTGAGACGGGCCTGAACCCGACTCGATATCCTCGTTCACGCAGGGCGAGAGTTCCGACGGCCGCGCGCGCGCGTGCACGTTCTGAATTAAACCAAGACGACGGCGACAGAAAGGCATTGTAGTGGGACTGAAAACGCAGTTTGTCCCATACAATTAACTCGTGGCCTGCCTGAATAGGATTCGTCGCCCATCCACGTCAGCCTGTCGGGGAGACAGGAACGTGGTGATCTCTAGGGAATCCCGAACTCACGAGCGGTTCCCCGAGCGGTTACTGTTCTGTGCCTCTATGGTTCTTCTCATTATTTTGTGTTTGGCCTTACTCAGAACCAACTCAGACCAGCAGCTAACACCGGCGCCCGCCAGTGCGGCCGACCGAACTATATCTCTAGTTTGCTGCTCATCCAACCATTGACATAGGGCCAGGCATCGGCCAAAGCTACCTGTACGGAGGCGCGGAGCAGAAAATTCATTACCCAAAGACTTCAATCATGAAGTGATACTCAATCTTACTGCCGTCGTGCCGCCCCCGCACCGTGAGTTGCCGGCACTTGTCTGCCAGGATCTCCCCGACCACCGGCGCTCCGCAGTAAAAGACTCCGACCTTTAGCTCCTCGTCCTCCTCCTCCACGTCCCGCCGCTCGCCGCTAGCGCCTCGGGTACTACCGCGGTCGTCGGCTCTAGCGTCCCTGTTTTCGCTGCGGTGGTTCCTGTCTGTTCCCTCCCCTGCTGTGTTTGCGACTATGCTGTCGGCTGCGGCCCCGCCGCCCGCGTTCGCTCTCATCCTCTTGCTGGCACGGAACCTCCGCATATCCTCATAGTGCCTGTCCAATATGGCATCAAAGTCGGGCCGGCCAAAGTGCGTCGGGTTCAGCAGGCCCGTCAGCGGGCTCTCTGGGTGCTCCTCGGTGCGGTGCATCTCGAGAAGCCAGCGGTATACGTGCGTGACAATGTCCCGGCGTTTCTGGGTGACGTGCGTGGCGATGCGGATGTCGAGGTGCTGGGAGGGGCCCTCGTGGCGGCGGTGCCAGTCCTGGCTTCGCGAGACCGAGTTGAGGAGGTCGGCGATCCAGAGGAGGTAGTTGCGGTCGCGGACCGTCCAGTGGAAGTCTACGCGACGGTAGTCGGGCGCGAAGGCGAATGCTTCTGATGGGTTAGGGGGTTTTGTCGGGTCGTTTCCATCCGGGGCTTCTGTTGCCGCTGCCGCCATTGTCGATTCTGAGCCCTTTCGCTCGTTGGTCTCTTTCTTTTCCGTCACGACGGTCGTCTCCGAGTCGTGGCGGTGTTGGTGGTTGCGATTCTGATGCGAGTGCGTTGGTCCCCCGTGCTCATCGTCATCACGCGCCTGCAGGTCCGCGAGGATACCCGAAAAGGGAGTGACGCCGATCCCAGAACCCACGATGATGGTATGGTTGAAATCGTAGAACCGCTGAGCCGGCGCACCAAAAGGCCCGTTGATACCCACGTCAATCTCCGTCGCCGCATCGGCTCCTCCCTCTCCTTTCCCGCCCAGATCACGAAGCCGCTTCGTCCAGTTTCCGTCCGTCTTGATGTGTAGCCGGAACTCCCGCCCCTTGCAAATGGAGACGGTAAAAGGATGCCACTGGAACGCGCTGATGGCGGGCACCTGCAGGAACACGTACTGCCCTGCCCTGTACTTCCACATGCGCTCGCTGGGAATCGTGGCCGCGACCTTGACCGTCTCGCCGTCAAGCACCGTCAGCGTCGCCTTGATCCTGTGGAACCCCGTGCCGACGCGGACGACGCGTTCCACGAGGATCAACAGCGTCGGCACGGCGAGAAAGTAGCCGAACATGGGCCACTGCAGCAGCGCCGCGGTGCCGTGGGCCATCATGAGGCCGATGATGGGGTACATGAGCAGGTGCGCGAGCTGAAAGACCTCGTAGTTCCACCGCCGCACCGCCGGCATGCTGAGCAGCGCGAGGAGGTAGAAGAGGCCCAACGCCGTGAGGCCCGTGAAGCCCGGCAGCGAGCGGACGTACTCGACATACGGCCTCGGCACTGCGTCCGGGCCCAGAACCGCTGCGACGGCATCCTGGTTTTCGGGCCGGCTTCCGTGGTAGAAAGAGCCCGTGAGGTGGCCTATGGCATGCAGCGTCGCGAGCGCGAGCGCGAGACACGAGATCTTGATGTGGAAGCTCTGACTGAGGTCCCAGTTGATGAAGCGGGAGACGCGGTAGGAGCGGCGGAGCATGGTGGAGAAGTAGCGCGACATGCTCAGTATGAGAAAGAAGAAGGTCGGGTAAAGCATGCCGGCGCAGGTCTTTGCGAGGACGACGCCCCAGCCGAAGGCGGCGCGGTATCGCGGGGTGGTGGCGTATTTTACGCATTGCCAGACGCCGAAAGCGATGAGGGAGGATGCGACGAGGCCGAGGAAGGCGATTTCGGGACCGTGGACGGCCCAGTAGGCTCGTAGGCGGCGGGAAAGGCGGAGGTGCTGGATGAAGTTTCGCTGGGAGGTTTCCGAGTCTGCGTCTTGTTTTAGGGAGGGGATCTTCCATTCGCGGACGCGGGCTGCGAAGGCGGCGCGGGGGATGCGGTGGGTGCGGGAGGTGTCGTCGGCGATGGGGTTGGATATGGTGCCTGGCTCGGAGCCGGGGAGGCCCATTATGGAGCGGAGGAATTCATGGCGGAGGCGGTTTTCGTCTGGCGAGGAAGACTGGTTGTTGGCCTTTTCTGGAGAGGTGTGATGAGACTGTTTCTGATGACGGCTGATGACGTGGTGAGGTTTTACTTGGCCGCCGGGCGCGAGCTCGCCGTGCGCGGCGTCGAGTTTGGCCTCGACTTCGGCGTAGTCGATGTAGCCGTCGCCGTTGTGGTCTAGGTCGTCGAGGAAGGAGGTGATTTCGTCTTCCGTGAGGTATGTGACGCCCTCTTTGGGGTTCGTGACGGGGTGGTTTGTAAGGGTAGCCATGAAGACCCTCGTTCTTTTGTCTGTCTATTTGCCTATGTCGTACTCTATCGTGTCGTCGTCACTGAGAGAGAGATGGGCACGGATGTGAGTCTAAAGAGAGAATGGAAACGTCGACGCGCAAGGGATGGCAGCGGCCCATGGCGTCTATATTTCTGTATGAATGCCAACAGGGCTTTCTTGGGTGTTTGGGCTATGGAAAGGGACTAAGATGCGTGTTGCGCTCATTTTACACTTGGCTCTTCTTGGCGGTGATTTCCCCTTTTCATGTGCCAATGTGGGAGTGTTGCGCGCTTGTTTGGTGTGGTGGTGGATCGCGTGTGCCGTACGTCAGCCGGGACGAGCCAAGCTTCTTGGTGTTTTTTTGGCACGGATGTATAGATCTCTGAATCTGGCAGCGCGTAGTAACAAAATGCCTAATGTCTCCCCTTTCTTAGTCTAATCGAAAAATGCCATCCATGCCCCAGCTTCTCTCTCTCTCTCTCTCTCTCTCTCTCTCTCTCTCTCTCTCTCTCTCTGTGTGAAATCTATTGTGTAGAATTTCGACTGGAGGGAATTGGAAAAATATCATGATGCCATGCTAGAAAAGAAAAAGAACACGCCAATGCTGGAAATCGCATTACACTAGAAGCCTCAAGATAAACAAACATACGTAGTAAGAGAAGGTCTAGGCCGTCTTAGACGCTTGGTATCCGGACCATCGCGTTGGTACAAAACTTAAAACGGAAGAAAAAAAAAGATTCCATGGTACGATTTGAACGAGCCATTGACTTCACTGATTACCGAATTAGTCTTGCACTTGCAGACTATAGCAACACCACCAGGCTGATTGGCCCTTTTCCCTGGCTTCTACTTGGTCTTCTTGGCTTCTTGGCCTCTTCTTGGCTCGTTGTTGGCGTCTTGGTGAAGGATATCCGCTCGTCATCACAGTCTGCCGTCAATTGTAGAGTCTCTGATTGGTTTGGGGGGTAACAAGGTTACTGCGATAAGCACGATAGGCTCTTTCTGCGTGTCGTGGAAAGCGCACAGGCCAAATGACGTATGCTGCCAATTGGCGTGGCTCTCTGTGGTGGTACGGTGACAGAAGCCCAGACCTTTTCAAAACTCCAGCCTCCCAACACAACATCAAGGTCCACCAGCCGGGGCCTCCCGTTCTGTTCCCCCGGCATGTGCCGGAGCCTTTTGTCTGTGCCCCTCCATCCTCCCACCATTTCACGGATGCGTTGCCGTAACGTACGGGAGTCTTTAATTTACTACGTAAGGTAGAGGGATATCTAGGATAGATTTAGGTTGGTTGTTGGATCTATCGCATAACAATCTCATCTATTGAAGAGGGCGGCTCTCAACCACTGGACTCGGGTAACTTTCTCAGAAACACTCCCCTCGTTCGCCTGTGAGATTTTCCAACATGCTGGCAACGTTGGTGAAATAAAGCAGCGCAGAGGCTTACGACACACTGTCAATATGCAGCTTTCTCGATTCACTTATCTGAGAAGCCGTCATCAAGCCATTCACACCTTGATCGGCGATACAAAGCAGGATTAAATGAAGCGCGCCTTCCTTTGGATTCTGACCTTTGGGGCCCTTTTATCAGGAGAAACCCCGTGCAGCTTATTTTCCACGTCTACCATCTCTGATCCTGCGCATCATGTCAAAGAAATCGAAAAAAACGTCTTGCCAAAATCGGTTCCAACATTATTCAGCTCAAGGGAGGCTTAGGCATCTCAAGACGCAACTTCCAAAGGCCATTCAGTTCCGGGGCCATCTCCGTGTCCGTACAGTTATATTTGTGGGTCCCACCATTCTCCCGTCATCGCATCACGGCGCCGTCCGGCACCGACTTCGGTCCCCCGAAGAAGGAAAGAAAAACAGCTATAGACTCTTTCTCTCCCCACGCGACAGACCGAAAGTCCTCCTACATCCTCTCTAGATGATTTGGATGCCTTCTTCAAGATTCCCTCTACTGTTTCCTCTTCATTAATCCTACCAGCTGCAAGCCCGATACTTCTTCACCTAGGACTCAGGTCCTACAAAGCGCCCCACTTCAACCAGGCAGGGAGCCAAGCAAATCCGCCTTATACGCAGGCAGGCAGGCAGGGCGAATTTACCCCGCCATCCAGCGTGAGCCTCACCTCACCTCACCTCACCTCATTCGACCTCTCAACCATCACCTCACTCACTCACTCACTCGCCGCCCAAACGTCCTCACTCACCCAGCTCAGCCCAACCTCTACCACAAACACCTTGAACTCCCATGCCCCTACGAAGCAAACTAAACCTCAATCCCCAAACAACACAAACCACCACAACCTCAACACCACCAGCACCACCAACAACCTCAACCGCCACAATGGCCACCACCCAGCAGACAAAAGACCGCATAACCTGCCACGTCCTAGACACCTCGGCAGGAAAACCAGCCCGCAACGTCCGTGTCCAACTCTCCACCGTCATCCCGTCCCCCGCGACAACTTCAGGCGCTGCCTCGCCCAACACCGGAGCTCCATCCGGAGGCATCCTCAAAGAATTCGAATCCACCACAGACGAAGACGGCCGCGTCAAATCCTGGCTCCCCTTCTCCTCCGCCACCTCGTCGGGCGAAGTCCCCGTCTACACCCTCGACGACGTCCTCGGCGAGATCGAAGCCACTTCCACCGTGACATCCTCCCGCTGGACTCTCACATTCGACACGGCGTCCTACTTTGGCGGCGAGGACGAGACCTTCTTCCCCGAGGCCGTGGTGGTCTTCACCGTCAAGAGGGGCCAGCATTATCATGTTCCGTTGCTGTTGAGCCCGTATAGCTACACCACGTACCGGGGCAGCTAAGCTCATCATCATCATCGTCGTAATCATGGTACGTGTAAGTTGTGGCAAGGGAATTGCATTTTTGCGGGCATGAGGTAAGCTGGGGCTGGTCTTGTTTGAGGCCGTTGAGGAAGACGAGTTCCATGTGGATAGAGAGCCGGGAAGAGGGATTCATGGGATGGGCTAGTCTCTAGAATGAGGGTCTGGCTTGTGGGTTCATGAGTTCGTTACATTTTACTTTGGGGATACCTCAAGGACCAAGGTAGCTCGCAAGTCCAAAAATATCGAGGTCACTAGGGGGTACCGATAATCACTTCGAAAGAAAGAGGCCCAAATGATTAGTGCAATAGACTTGCAACTAAACGATAGAATTACCGTGCCTGTCATGTAACGATAGTCTGTTCACCGTCTTAGGCTATTGTCCTTCGTGATGCAAATTTCCGTCCGTCAGGGCCGTCTGTGTGAAGGTGATATTTAAGAGGACCAATATCCTCGACAATGACGGCCTGGTCTTGTACCATCCCAATACTCCATGTCCCAATCCCATTCCCAAAACCAAAATCCCAAGCCCGCCTTGGTTGTGCCCAACCCCGTGTTGCGAGTCAAAAGAAAACTCCGCGCTTACGCTGTGGTGTGTCTGTTTTACAAATTCTTTTCGGCCGTTTAATCGTGTGCGCGGTACATCGGGTCGATAGTTCGCCGCCTAGTTTCGTGGTTCTTCACTTCCGCATCGCAGAAATTGTGACTCTACGGCTTCTTCCAGCCAAGCTTTCTAAACAGGCTGCCTTTGCGTCCGTTGCTCTGAGCCGACGTGACGGGTGACAGGTCACCACCGCTGTGGGAAAGCATGCTCTCGGCATCGTCTCTGCTCATGCGTCCCGTGGCCGGCAGACTAGACTGGCTGGTGTTGGACGGAACGTCTGCTTCGAGGATGGCGGCTTCAGCTTCGGCTAGGGCTTCGCTGCTGTAGAGTGCCTCCATTTGAGGGGTGATGCGTCCATGGCTGATGGTGCGCCTGTGCTTTTGCAGGAAAGAACGTCGTGTACGGGCTCGGTTTCCAGCGAGATCCTCCTGCGAGATGACTGCGTTGGGCGAGAGGTTGGCATCGGGATGCGGGAGCGTAGTGTTGCGTTCTGTATTTCTTAGTATATGGACCATGGGCTTTGTAGATTATCCAGGGGACTTACCTCCGTTAAAAGGCTCAGGGAAGCCAGTGTCCCGAAGACTAGCCTGGCTCTTGGTCGACGGGCTTCGTGGTGTGTTGTTCATTGTGTGAGGCTCTGCGCGAAGATACGATCTTAGTTTATTGTGGGGGAACCGATGGTGGAAGATCGACGGTAATAAAGTGGTGAGAGGTCAGGTAGCGGTCGCAGCGGGGAGTTTCTTGGGGCCAGTATTCAGTGGAATAATAGCGCCGGGGGGGTGGTGGTAAATAAGATGGGTAGAAGCCCGGGGGGGGCAAATAGTAGAACGCAGATGAGTGAGAGAGAGGCTGTTCCCTTTGTTGTGGGTAGGTAACAGAATACTGTTGCAGAATAACTGGAATTCTGGATAATAGAAAGGAAGGAACAAAGAAGTTTGGAGAGGTAGAAAGGTGAGAGGAAAATAGAACAGGGCGAGACGCCGTCGGGGTTTCTTTGCTGAGGCAGTTCTGTGATGAGTGTTGCCGTTTGATCCTTTAGCGTCTTGGGCAATTACGAATCCCCTCCCAAATAAGACGAGACCAGTTAATGAGACCGGAACGACAAGGTCAGGAACGAGACGAGAGCAGCAGCAGCAGCAGCAGCAGCAGTTATGAGCAAATGAGAATGCGAGACTCCGCACAGGTAATCCGCCTCTGGGCGTTCTCTTTTCGCTCAATAGTGAATGGAACACAGTAGCTGGAACTAACCGCGGAATTGGGGCCTCAAATGGGGAGGGGTGGGATAGTCACGGTATTTAGAGCAGGTTGCAGTCAGAAGAAGAGTGGCCACTGGCCTATGCTTTTTTGGCTCTTCTTGTTTTGCCGCATCTGGAAACACGTAACCGTCGTTCCGCCTCTTGGATTTCCTGTGCACGGCGGGTAACGAATGGCCCCGGTGTAGGAGACTTGGAGGGGATCCCTACGAGGTCTGACTTGCGTGCCCTGGTGTTTCTTGTTCGCTCTCGCTCCATCGCTGGGTGTTGCGCTGTTCGCTCGCTCGGGCTCGGCCTTCCGCTTGCAAAGGCACAGTCGAGCGCAGCAGCAGCGATGAGATGACTGGGCCGCAGCAAAGCACAGCAATGCCAGCCAGTGACTGGGGTGGGTAGGGTAGTACGGCACGAGAGGCGGGGAAGAGCTAACAAATGTTCGAGGGCATGCAGCATTGGACATAGGAAGAAACGCAGAAGCCGGAGCACTAAACTCGCTCAGAGACACACACCAGCGGTGAAGTTTGGACGGATACTTTTGGCTGGTTGTTTTGCTTGGTCTGCAGAAACACTGAGCAGCAACTTGCAGTAGCCGGCAGCTTACAGCCAGCCATCGGCAGCCTGGGATGACCTGCATGAGGGACTCGGGCACACCATGCGCACATGGAAGTCATGACGATTGGTGTTTGGCTGTGTCATGTTCCGAACTCTGATGGTGCCACACCATTCTCAGTCTTTCATGGAAAGTTCCCGAGACGAAAAGTCCCAACAAAAAAATATACTAACAAGTGATGCAAATGAAGAGAGAAGCTGTAGAGTGACCTGAAGGTGGGGAGTCTCCGTTCTGCGAGAGAGCACGGGAATCCCGGCGGCGGAGGACAGTTTCCTCTCTGAAGCATCGTGGAATGACGAGTGGACGACAAGGGTTCCGAGCGAACAAGAGAGGGGACTGAGTGGGTTGAGGAAATGGAAAGGAAAAAAAGAGGCGAGGAATGGAGATTGGTGTGCTTTGGGGGACGGACAAGAAACTGAGAGACATGGCAAACATGGGAAAATGGCATGGCTTACCTTGGGCGACGAAGGCCATTGGTGCGATGTGTGCCGGTATTCCGCTCGGTTGAGAGCCAGAGCGTCAGCGGTGGAACCCTCTTGAGGAATCCTGTCTTGGGTAGGCGGTAGGACGGGCGGGGAGTCTGGGCAAGACAGCGCAGCGCAGCGGGACGGAGAGTTGAATCCGTGTTAACCAGGCGCTCAGCTGTCTGTGGTATGTTCTCGGCGGTTTGACTGGATGAAATTTGCTTTTGCGGCGAATGGCAGAATCAAAATGACGAAGACGTCGAGGGGTCCAAAGTGGTCTCCACTGAACAAGCGCGCGGTAGGGGACACAAGCTGGGTTTTGTGCCGAAGGTGATGGTGAAGAAGAAAATAAAGACGCTGAGTACGGAGAGTAGTGACTCTTTGTATCTTCTCTGGTCCAAGTTGTTGTCGTCGAAAGTAGAAGCTGAAACGGCTTTGCGGGGATGGGTAGGATGGATGTGGGAAGGTATTCGCAGGTTGCAAGGTTCGAGAATAGGTGAGAAGCTTGGATGTTGTGGGATGTTGAGTCGAGGAGGTGTGTCTGTCAAACAAGAAAGATACGATGATCTCAGGAAAGTATATTTTTCAAGTTTGGAGGCGGGGATCTCGAGTCAAAATGTTGTGGTTTGCGCTGACTGTTGACGTGCGGTTCGTTATGCTGAAAGTGGGGAGGAGTGATGACATTCAAGTAGAAGTTCAAAGGAGGTGCGGTGCAGGTGGTCAAGGTTGTTCTTTCCGACCAAGTTACGATGCGAACCGTGGACTGTGTCAACCTCGCGGGCAGGCGGCAATCCCCGTTGTTTATATCGTCTAGTGCTATTGCCCTGCCTCATTTGGACGGGAGTGACTTGAAGAGAAAGTTGGAAGGCCGCGACCGGTGAGGTCAGTTTTGTCAATCATTCTACTACCATGTTGCATGTCCGAGTGCACAGGAAGGGATTAGTTGACAGTGATTGACACCAGTGACCGAATTGATCACCGGCGTAGCATCTCAAAGGGGCGGCCCCCCGCCAGGTGTACCCGGACGGTCGGTCATATCCGTCCCACGGGCTTGAACTACCTTGCCTTACTGCGTATGAAGAGGTACCCAGCCCGCGCCTTTCCCAACCGGGAAAAGACATCCAGGGTTTAACGCCATTTAGCACCTCGTAGTCGCTGTCCCAAAACCGCGATCCCCATCACATCGCAATATGGCACCTGTCCGGCAATTGTCTGTGACTTTTTTTTTTTTTTCCTGTTGGTGTTGTTGTTGATGATTCTTTTGTAGCAATCGCCCGTGTTGTTGTTCTCATCCACCAAGCTCTGACAATTCTCATGGGTGTCGACTCATGACATGCCTCAGCCTCTAGGATGCAAGATAGGAAAATAAAAGCTTTCTTGTTACTGGCCCCAGTCAACTGCTACGATTGGCGTTAGGGACTCACTACTCGTGCAACACCAAAAACCTGTCCAAACGCAACTGCAATCAAGGATCAAAGACAAAAGACACAAGAGCACCAGAAAGGAGAGAAGAATGTTTTCTTGAGGGAACCCAAACATCTCCCCTCACCGTCTCCATACTTCATACACCACAACCGAGAGTATCCGGGTCAATCGTCACTGTCTCCAGTGTCACCTCGTTTCCCACATCTATTAGCGTTCCGACGATCCAGCGATGCCAATCAAACCCCACGGTTGGGCACTCACCCGATGTCTCGGTGTCTCATTGCCGGCTCCCTCACTGGCCTCCAGGGAGACGACTGACTTCTTTACTCACTACTCATCTTACACTACTACTGCAAAGCAACATCGTGAGGCCAGCTAACAAGACACAGCTCCTCGTGACTTGTCGCTGACCGGCACACGGCACACGGCAGACGAGCTAAGCCAGCAAATACTAACTAAACACTGACAAGTCGTCAACTTCCACCCCAAGCCTCAACCGTCCACATTTGTACTAGCTCTTGGCGCCGAGCTTGGCAAGCGGCGCAAGCTTACCCCGGCTCAGCCCAACGCGCAGCGTCGCAGAGCCTAGAGGGACCACACTCTAAATCCAGCTATGCTTAGAAGTCTCATTTACCGTTCCCCTTGCCCACAAGCTGTATCGGTACTAGGCGATGAAGAGTTCCCTAGTGTAAGAGTGTAGACTACTCCCTAGAGATCGGGCACTTCTTATTTGAGGCCTTATTCGTTCTATCCGGAAGGTCTGTTGGCCCGCGGGTGCCATAACCCATGGAAGAACAACAGGATCCCTTTTCTTGCCCTTTTCTCCACGGGCCACCGTTGCCGGTCTCCACTCCAATGGACACCCTTTCTTGCGCCTTCTTCTCTCAGCTGGAAAGGGGACCAGCAGTGCCCACAGCCAGGCAGTTTTCCCTCTCTCGCTGAAATCATTCGTAAGCATCCCTGCCCCTCCTGCGCCTACTATAGGCTATACCCCATTGAGACAGGTCCCTTCTCTGTCGAGGACCGGAAGAAAAATGCGGCGATGCGGCGGACGGAGGTGGGGTAAGTAGGTAGGTATTCTGCATTCTCCCACCGGAAAGGACCCTGACGACCTGAATAAACTTGGGTGGAGCAGACGCCTTGCCCGTGATTGGCCAAAGCGTAAACCACCCCGCGCCACAGTTCAAGTGGATACTTGGAAACCTGCGCAGTGATTCGCTCCCAGCCACAGTTGGGGACCATTCCGCGTTACGCGGCCTCCGATCTTGCTGTCTTTAGAAATGGGAAAAGTTCAAGTTCTTCTCCATTCCATTCTATCCAAGTTTTCTGCCCACCAACCAAAGGCTATGAAATATTCATCAAGGGAAAGCCACAGGCTGTCGGCGTTCCGTCACTAGAGACCCTTCCAAGCCTCTCCCAGGCGCCGAACACCCGAGCCGAAGGACCGTCTTCCCATTCTCCACTACGCCGCCACCCCATTCATGAATCTTCCAGCAGGACCAGCACCTCAAATGTCTCCAGCCAGCAGGCCCCACCCCGTGGTCATTCAACTCCACAACGCACACGAATCCCGTCGCCGCCGCCTTCACCATTTGCTCGTTGCGAATCCCGCTGACCCTCGGCTTGATTGGAATCTCTGATCGCTACCAATTCCGTGCGCCGAATGCTACTGTGTTACTGAAAACCTGGGGAAAGGAAAGGTTTTCAGGATATCTGGCACATTTCATCCCGCCAAATGGCATGTTCCAACAGTTGGTGCGTAGTTCATTGCGGCGAAAACGTAAAACACAATGTGCAGATCACTGCCTAACCTCCCACGAACCCAAACCTCAGTGACGGGCTCAACTGGAACGTTGACGTCTCTCGTTCCGTTCCCAATCTCATCATGCCCAAAAGTATTCCCTATCTGCGCATGTCTCTCTCGGACAGACATGATCTGACATTCCCTACGACACAGCCATCCCAGCGTGCCCAGTAATCGATTGCGTTCCTGAGATATCCACTTTTCTAGACACGATGAGCTACTGAGACAGATATCAAATAACCTCAGGTAGCGTTCCTTTACAAAAGAGCTGAGTTGAGCTGAGGCCAACCCGGTCTAGACCATGTTGGGATATCTAGGTTGATTACGGATAGCTCGTGAACGATGCAGTTCGGATGGCTTGACTCCCGTCGGGCAGTCATCTCTAGTACCCTACGCACTGACACCGAACTCATAACAGCTGTAGTCTTACAGAGAGGGCTCCTTCTCATCTGTCTCTATTGTCATTGCCCAGCCATCTAGCTTTAGCTTTGGGGCGTCTACACGTGCGAGGAATAACCTGCAGCTGCGATTTGAAATGTTTGCTCTGCGCTGCCCTCGTACATGGCTTAGCCTTTTATCCCCGGCTTCGCCAGGTGCTGAGGCGGCTCGCTAGACGAGTCTAGACTTGTGCTTTGAACTGAGGACATCATAGTCTCATAGAACACATGAACGAACGTTTACACATCCATCTCGAGAAAACACGCCTGGATTTCCCCCCTCGAACATACTGAAGCTTACTTACTGCCAAGCAGCCATTTCAGTATCTCCGCGGCGGCTAACTTATGACCTTTTCTCACGGCCACCCCGTAGGCATTCTCACCTTTTTTGTTCTTCAAGGCTAGTATATATCTAATTTCATCGCCTTTGCAGGATCTGAGAAGTGTTTCTATCATAGAAGTCAATCCATGATACGCCGCAATATGTAAAGCGTATCGGCCCTGAATGTCGGGCTGTTGAAACAAGAGCCGGCGATTAACCCCTGGGTGGCTAAGAAGTACTTTAGCAATCACCTTATTGTCGTGACCGACTGCTAGATTCAAAGGTGACTTGTAGTTCCTCTCGGCACACTGCTCTGCTTTTGCGCCCAAATCCAGTAGTTTGTTAACCGCACTCAACGCCCCTGAGCCAACAGCTTGGATCAATGGTGTTGTGTTGGTCGGGCCGCCCATGAAGTTGACATCGCTTTGCAATTGTCGGACGAGATACTGGACGGTCTGTACCCTGTTGTGCTCAGCAGCCTGGAGTAATGCACAGCCAAGCATGTCATTCTTCTCCTCCAGGGCCGCTGCAGTGCCGTAACAGGTTCCACATCCTTGATGCACCATCAGAAGCTGATCGCATCCTTCAGCGGCTAACAGACAGACAAGCCGCTGCTCAAAGGCTATGGACGGACCGGCACGAAATTTGCCAAGTCTCATGCGCCGGAGCATGTTTTTCCGGGATGATCCAACAATGTGCTCTGTGGACGCGTTGCATTCTTCAAGAACCTCTGGAAAGACGAGTTGCTTCGCTCCCAGAAGCTCGCCACTCAGACGGGAATGTTCCATCCAAAAGGATAGGACGTATTGGTGTAGCTCCAGTTCTGGTCGGGCCAAGTCATCGCGCTCCAGGTATCTGGCGCAAAGCTCAAACATGCGACGATGACAGATCCTTTCGATGGCAGCCGGGCCATTAGCAGCCGGGTCGAAATGCTGGAGTCCGCACTCGTACACCAGAAGGCGATGGATCGATACGTGCGCGAATTGCACGGTACGTGACCCGGGTGTGCCATCAGGTTCGGGCCGGAGGACCTCCACGAGGCCTTTCGACCAAGTTCGGATATATGCGGCAAAGTCGAAGCTTTTGCTTTTGAAGCGCTCCAGTTGTGATTTCCATGTATCTGGGTAAATCAGGACCGAGACAGCTTCCATCACTTCCTGAAGCGATAGAGCCTCCTTGGAGAAAGCTATGAGTTGGAGGAGGAAATAGCTCTCTTCCCGCATTGCGTCGTCGGATTTTCCGGCAAGCCTTTCCAGGATCTCATCGTACAATACCTTCAGTTCTTTTGGAATCTTCTGGATTCTTTTCAGAATATTTTCTGTGGTGGCAAAGTCTACCGCAGGCCAGTTGTCTAGATCCCAGACGACTAGCACAAGCCACATGAAGTTGTGATTAGCCTTCATACTGAGGTTCTCGATGAGGATCTCGCGGCGTTCATCGTCCATGTGGCGTCTCCCGATAGTCTTTTCAAGGTAACGGCCGATGTCTTTGCTATTGTAATTCTCCATTTCGATCACAGATCCTCTCGAGATTGGGGAGAAACGAGGGCGTGTCGACGAACAGATTTTGAGAGGTGTGCCGTTATGAACGAGATTTTCGAAGAATTCGAACCCTGAAGAATGTTTTCGATCATCATCATCCCATTCGTCGAGAGCATCGAGGAAAATAAAGATCTTCCGCACGGCAGCATTGTCCGCTTGTGGGGAAGTGACTTCCAGAAACACCCTTTTCAAGTTGTTTTGCAGCTCAAATTGAGTCCACGAGTGGCCTGGCATCTTCCATACCCCAAGGAAGTCCTTGAGAAGGTGTGTGGGAAGGCATTCGGATCGAGCGATTGCATGATACAAAAGTGTCCGATACATGCCTACACCTGAGCTGCAACATGGTTGTCTGTCACGAGACTTCGCGTCGAAAAAGAAATTCAGAGTCAGCCGACTATCGGGTTGCTCTTTGAGTTGCTCACAATACTGAACAGCCTTTTTCATCAAGACTGATTTCCCTGAGCCAAGATTTCCTTCAACTGATAGGAACGAGTGGTCCTTGCCTAGGGCTTCCCAATCCATGAACTGGGAAGTCCGGAATAGCCAACAATCGGGGAGGCTATGTTGATCATTTGAAAACACTTCGTCATAGCGTCTTTTTAGTTCTGGAAAGCCTGATATCAAGAGATTCAAACAATCTAGGGCGAATCAGACGTCCAGTCACCATTATAAAGCTCGCAATTTAACTAACCGCGCCGGAGCTGCTCCCGTTCTTCTACCAGTCGCTCCAGTGCCATTCGACTCTGTACTATCTGCTATCAGCCATTCGCTTCTGCGTCTACTTTGGGCCTCAATGTCTACCTACAGTCGTGATTTCCTTCTTTGATCGTTGGTTCTGCCGATGGAGCGCGCAACTCTTGGAGGTCAGCGAGCGCTTTCGCTTCCTCAGCCAACCTCAACTTCGCAGCAACAGCAGCAGCACATAGCTTTGATATACCAAACACAACCTTCTTGTATTCACTAGCCTCTTCGTGGTCGAACTTGCACAGTCCCGAATGATCCTTACCCGAGAGAGGGACAGGCGTCTCTTGAATGCTTGCAAGACCCAGCACGGCCGACTTTTTGTCAACGACCTAGAAATAATGGGATTAGCAAATATTGATACTTCCTGTGAGAGGCATGCATACTAGCCCCGGCATGTTATCGGACGGTTTCGTCTCGTAATAGCTCAGCACGTTAAACTGTTCCAAGCCATGTCTAAAGTCTTCTCTTATGACGTCGGCAAAAAGAGAATTCCTTCCCAGAGCCTCCATGAAGCTTGGTTGACGGTTGCCAATAGCTACGCTAAAAACATTGGCAACAACAGAAGCGAGTGAGGCGAGTTTACTGCCGTTGTGAGGTGTCCCAAAGAATGCCATGCCGTATGTTGCTTGGTGAATTGCCTGGTATCTTGTGTTCTGTTTCGCTTCCGTCATGGCCTTAAGCAATTCACCGTCAGCGTTCTGCCACGGCTTATCGTTCCGCAAACTTATGTTTGTGATTTTAACCCACTCTCTTCACCACTATCCCCCCGAGGCTGTGGCACACAAATATGAGTGGCCGTTCAGGTTCGTCCTAAATGTTATTAGCAAAGCCATGACTCATTGGTTTATTTGAGGAATGATTTATTTAATACATCACGTTCCATGGTCAAGAGCTCTAGCAGATTGATGACCCATTCTTGTATTCCCTCACGCGACTTTCGAAAGGCAGGGATGGCATCGTAGCCATACACCATGATGCGGGCGCGGGGAATTCTGGTAGGGAGGAAGGAATCGTCTGTATTCCACTTAGATCCTTCATAGAATTGCCTGGACTTTTGTAGGCCCGTGTTCTCGCGCAATAGCACTATTTCCCTTGTCTTCTGTCGTGAAATCGGGCTATTTCAGTCAAAAGCCATCGATGTTAGAATACCAAATGCCTGCAAGTGTAAGCTTGACACCTGAAGCGGGACATGTTGTCCTGGTATCTTGATTCTTGCGCCATGATCTACCTCACCCGCCTTCGAGATGGTTCAAAGTCTTGTTTCGATCGCAAGGCTCGAAGAAGTTGCAGGTTTGTCGGGGCCTCGAGTAGGGAACTGTTAGCTGGCTTTGATTCTCTGTAGGACGCCTGTTGGGGGGGGGCGGGGATGAGGCTTTCTCACAGGTCAAGGTGACAGAGTTGACACCTGGAAAATCCGAGAAACCGGCTGGCATCATGGACGCACAGCTCACATCAGAATTGCTGGCTACAGTTTCCTGCAGGTTTAATAACAGAGGGGCTGCCAATATCAAGGGAGATCTGAATGAGCTTTCGCCAGATGAACGTAATTGAGATATTGCAGTGTCCATAGGGGGCTCCCTAAAATTTGATGGCTGCTATAGTTGGTTGCTATTGTTGGGGTAATGGCAAGTTTGGGTGTCTGTTTGCTTCCACCTGAGAAAGAGCCGAGCGTAGGAGTCTTCTATTGTAAGAGTGAGGAGTGAATCTGTGCCGCTGGGCAATGAACGTAGGTAACGAGTGCAGGCTAGTCGCAAAGGCGTCTTTGGCCTTCCGCCTCATGCGTGTGAACAAGCGAACCATAGAGCTCATCGGTGGATAAAACCATTCAGCTTTACTTACAGGCTCCTTAGCGTTATTTACTCTATGCAGGCTAACAGGAAGAGATGACTCAAGCAGATCAAAGCCCGACTAGTATTTATCTAGACTTATCAGATCTATCCCAGCCAGCTTACTCTCCGGTAAAAGAACCAGCTAAACGCGTCCATTCGTATGGGCCCGGGCAACAGGCGTCAAGAACAATGTAGGTGAGACCGTGGCTACAACTTTCTGCGGAGGCAACGACAGCCAATGTTGAATATCTGAGGAGGTTGTAGCAGCTGGCAAGCAGCTGTGAAGAATGGCCCACGATATACCTATGGCTGGATCGGGTTGTCAGGTTATAGGAGCTCTACGCTCGACATACGTTGGAGCTTGTGAAGGCCAGTCAATGCTGCCCTCGTACCCAAAAGGTTTAAAGAAAGGCGGAGTAAGGGAAGAGAACCGAAGGCGAATGAAAAGAGGAGGATGGTCAATTCTGATAGAGACACAGATGCATGAAGACCTCGGGCACTTCTAGGCCCGGAACCTTTCTGATATCAGAGGCTGTGGTAACGGATTAGGCTCGTCACGTTCCGTAAATAATTTCGGACTTTTCGTAGCGACAAGCCTCTGTATCGTCTTCCATGGCTTGTATCTTACACAGTACTTCATTGCGACCTCAGAGTTGGTTGTAGCTGTGAATTAACGGTCGACAAATTAGGAACTAGGCAAGATAGGCATCGGCCAGTGTGACGGAAGCAAGTTATCTCACAAGTACCCTGCCAGGCTCCTGCCGCCTGCAAGGTGAGGTGATATGCTGCCAAGCACAATATTGCTGTATCTGCAGGCGCCCTCGCCCGAATTCAGAGGCAGATGGGCACTGTACATATGCGCGACCATTCATTATATATGGGAACCCCCCCCCCCCCCCAAATGCACGTCGAGGGGATGCCTCAGAAAGGATACAAACTCGGTCAGCACGGCAGGAGAACCCAGGCGGCAAATGCCTGCATTCTTCTGCTGTAGTGGTAGCCGACTTAGAAAGCTACAAAAATTGCTGGGATTTGAAGGTATTGGAACGGCGCTCGAGTGATTCGCCAGTGCCCAGACACAAAGTATACTTTGAAATCATTGTTTTTCAATATTGGTTTCGATAGCCTTGGAAAGGCATACGTTAAATGACTTTCTATTCATGCATTCGCAAACGTGAAAAGGTATAGGAATTATCGACAATATGAAAAGATTAGACACAGAGTAGCAAGTAAGATGGAGGAAAGGCATGACAACCGCATCTCAACCGTACAAAATTCCCAGCAGGTCAAAAGTCAATGGTACATCCCTCATACCCGGCCTTTCAGAGCGATCATCACTCTGTGCCTAGCTTCTGCTTATGTACCAAAGATCTATCCTAATCCTCTTCATCTCTTGTTTCGTGAGGTCCCATTCTCTTGTGGCCTTCCAGCTGTGTGAACCTCGTTCCCTGGGCCAGTGAGGTTGACGGTGTGAACGTTTTGGAAAACAATTTGCTGTTGACCAGATTGTGGAAAGGGGCCATTCCCTCGCCCGGTGCTCCGAGGGACGTCTCGTTGCTTAGCAAGTGCGCCATGCATCCCGATGTCTTCGTTGCTCGGAGGGTCGAGCAGGTGTTCCGGTGTTGTGGGAACTGACACGAGGTGGAGCCGGCGGTCCGGCACCGTACAGAGTAGCTTACTGACCAGGAGGTTGAGGTACCCACGCGGGGGTCCCAGGTGCGGTAAACCGATTAGGAGACTGAGTTGGCTGAGCAGGCCTGCTGGCCCTGAAAGGAGCAGCTCGCCGGCTAGGAGCCGGACCGGCCATTCCGGCAGCTTGCGGGGCAGCTGGCTGATTGAAAGGCGGACGAGCTGGAGCCGGCATAGCAGGCGTCTTCGTATTCTTATAAGGAGCTGGCGGGTTGGGAGCCACAGGAGGCGGGTTCGGCTTAGCAAACGCGTTTATGTTCCCGTATACAGCTGGGGCATTGTAAGGCGGAGGCGGGGATGCAGCTGGCTGGTGGAAGACCAAAGCAGATTTCTCGGCCGCGGTGATGAGATCAAAAAGAGTCGATGGATACATCTTATCGAGAAGATCTCCTTTGAACTTTCTCAATTCAGGGCTGTACGTGTGACAAGTTATGATTAGTCTCTTTGCTTTGGCCGCGTAGATCAATCGAAGCTTACGAGTCTCTGCTGTCATTGACACTACAGCGCTTGAATGACTTCAGTGCAATATTGCAGTTCAAGCCCAAGGCGGTGAGGGACTCCGTCACACGGTTCGCATGCCTGAGTGTTGTGTCCTTGAACATCATGTTCGATCCAGCGGCCCAGCAGTTCTTCGCCGTGTGCTGGCCTAAGTCACCTTTTAGTTTGTTGATATTTTCGGTGCATATGCTGACATGAGTGTTGATGCCAGATCTAACTTCAGGGCTGGTCATGGCCCACTTGGCGAATGTGTTTGCTCGGTCGACGACTGCTTGAAGCTCTCGTAGCCTTGACTTCATGGGCTCGATTGTGGCGTGGGTGTTGAAACAATCTCGCAAGAAGAAGTTCAGGTCGACTAGGACACAGCTACCAATGTTGATGAGTTCCGCGACACTGTCGCTGGTAAACGGCTGGCCAGCCATTGAAAGACAACAAATCCCAAAGAATTTTCTATGATTTCATGTGTAGGAGCGAAACAGTTTGTGGACCGCAAGAGAGGGTTCCATGGTATATATAGAAAGACTTCGAGGTAATTTTGGAAGTGCGCGAGAAGGCTGGCTGCGCCGTACTCTTACTTGTACTGCCTGGGAACAGAAGTATCAATGAGCTACTCGGACTCTAGAATGAGGGCCGACCGGAGGGATTTCAAGAAGCAGGGACGTCTTCATCAAGGAGCGCGGCCTATTAAGGGCAACCGCACCAGAAGGCGTCCAGGCCACGTGCCACAAGAACCGGGGTCTTGAAAGGTTTCACTGCATGCTATCCACTAGGCAGTGCAGTAAGATGCTGTGCGAAATCATTTCACCCTTTGTACAGCAAATGGCATGGTCATCCGACGTGGATTTCATGGTTTCCGCGAATCAAATGTTCAAAAGAGGCGCCGAATTGGAGAAATGCTGGAAATCTTATGTACTGATATTCACTCGCTCGTTATGGGGTACGATATCGATGCGTCCAGCCTGCTCCAGTAGTGTACACGACATGCTATTACAACGAGAAGTGATATTGGCACATAACTAGAGCCGGCTGTGTCCGACGTCTAAAAAAAAAGCAACGGGAGAGATCGAACTCAGGCTTGGAGAACTCAGTTCAAGGCTCCTCAAATTTACTTGGTGCCTACTTGGCAAGCCAATCTAGTAGGTTGAGGAAAATGTCGTGGGAGGGATGAGAAAACATCAGGTGCAAAACTGCTCGGAAAGAGGGCGCGAGAAAAGAACGGCAGGTGGTACCTACAGAAGTTTGGATTGGAGTGGTAACGGCACGACCATCAGCTGACACGCAAGGTCTCTGCTGACTTGCTGCCCAACAAGCAATGTACGGTACTTTCTTCTAGGTAAGGTAGGCGAGGTTGAAAGGAACCCAATGGTCAGAGTCCGACGGTAGTCCGTTTCCTACTCCTACTGATCGGCGGGCCGAGTAGTTTCGGCCGGCGAAGTACCGGTAAGATGCAAGACATTTTGTGGGGTTAGTCCCCAATAATGCTACATAACATTGGGTAATAACTAGATGGACGGTAAAATAATTCAGTTGTCCCAGTGGCGAATGAAATTGCTATTGGTTTGGTACCAATCAACTAGATTGAAGAGACGGGCGGGACACAAGCACAATGGGGAAGGTAAGGTTGGTTACGTAGTTCATTAGGTATAGTCAACGGTATACAAGAAAAAGTCATGCCTTGCCGATGCAGGCGTGGTATCATATCTGAGCGTATTCGTCCAATCCATCACCTGGTAAAACTCCCAAATCACCTCCCATTTTACGCCTGCGCTAGATTCATGGGCGCCATTTTCGTAAACGCATTATGCTAAGAAAACGTTGAATAGTCTCAAAGACAAGAAACAACTAGATATCCACAGCTAAACTCTCCGGCTTGAATAGTCTAGTAGCGGCTGCTGCGCTGCCAGAAGTGGCGACGGCGGTAGGTGGTATGGGTGGCAGGAGGGGAGTAGTTGTCAACCTTGGAACGCTGCTGGCGGCGCTTATGAAGACGGCCGCTGCAGCAGGTGAAGAAGACGATGACAGTGCCGAGGAGCAGGCAGATGGCTGCGGCCAGGAGGGTCCAGAGAGCGACATCGTAGTGAGCGGAGCTGCCGTTGCCATCCCTGTTGACATTGCGGCGGACGACGGCGAACATGACCCAGTCGCAGATGAGGGCGACGATAGTGATGATGAAGGCAACGCCGGAGACGAGGGCAGCGAAGAGGGAGCCAAACATGCCGGCGCCGACGGAGAGGATGAAGGCGATGAAGGAGACGCCTGCGGCGACGGGGTGGAGAACCATGACCCGGGTCAAGCCCTCGGCGACGTTGGAGGATAGGTTGGAATACTGGGTGGCATCGGCCTCGGCGATGATATCGGTGGGTGAGTAACCGATCCTGGAACGGCTGCACTGGTCGGAGCCACTAGGAGACGAGTTAGTTATTGAGTTTGATTCTATGCTGTGTAATATTACTTACTAGTCAGAGCCACCACGGACGCAGTATCCAAAGGTACCAAATGTGATCTCATTGCCGGCGGAAGTGTCGCCCAACTTGACGGTCAAGAGTGAGATGTTGTGCACCACTGGAGCAGAGATGCTGGTGATAACCAGAAGGATCGTTGCTACAAGGAGCAAAAAGGTACCAAAGTGGTGAATGAAGCCGGTGACAGCCATGTTGATTATGGAGATGGACTACTGCCGGATGGCTGAGGTGTAGTGTGGGTATTTGGTGTAGGGCTTAGTTGTAAGAGAGAAGTGGCGATGGAATACTGATGTGATGAACATGTTCGTGAGATGAAAGGGAGAGGCCGTCCGCATATAAGCACAAACGTCTCACGACCCCTGGGCCGGCCCCAAGAAACAGGAATTCGCATGATGTGTGCTGTGATCTGTGACAGTACCACACTAGGCACACCCGTCCGGGGCCAAGAATGCCGTGTAAGTCAGGGTCCCGGTGCAAGCCAACGAGTGCGACGTCATCAACGTGGCCCAGCCCGGGCCCAAGTTCAGACTTCTCGTGGCTCTGTGGCTTTGGGGGGAGAAAATTGGGTGAAAATGGACCCTGGCTTGCGCAAGCATCCCCCGCGCCACGGTTGGTCGGCTCGTCTAGTCGCGTCCAGATTTGTTAAATTGTCGAACAAGCTGGCGGTGGAAAAGGAACGTGGGTTTGGCTCTATTGTGACGTACTATCCAGTTTGCGCCGCTGATTGGTCAGGTCCTCGCGTCGTGGCCGATCTGGGATATTGCAGGTTGCCACTATTCCTTGTTTTTGTGGCTCTGTAATGACGCCACGCCTTGAATGGACCCCGGCACCAAAAATCCAACTCCAACGTCAGAGTCTCGACCTTGTGTTCAGCTGACTACTGCCGTGTTGCCGACTCAAGTGTTCCTCTGGCAAGAAATGCACCTGCAGCTCGTCGTCAGGGAGCCCGACTGCGTTGCACTGCTAGCGACGGTCACCAAAGACACCTTCGTCATCGTTCGACAGTCATTGCAATTTTGCAATCTGATGTCGGGACATACCGAAATGTCAACGGTCGTCTTGTGGTGTTCTTGACCTCTCTCATTCAATGCACCGCCCTGGCCCGCATAATTTTAGGTTAAGCAAACGAAACTCGAACAGCTCCGTCCGATGATCTGATCCAATCAAGAGCCGTACTTTGACTGGGTGCCATCCCATCTCACCAATGAGCCTCGTGCCAAATCGTCGCCTTCATCGGAATTTTCATTTCCGGAACGCTTCACTGAGCGCGAAACGCTGGAGCTCCGATCAGGCTGTAGCTGTCAGGCTTGGCTTATGGCCGTAAAATCGGAGGTAAAGTCAACGCGCAATCGCTGCAAAGATGCGAGAGGCGGGTTTGATCGGTGCTCGAGGGACGTCGTCTCCAAAGCTTAGGGTTAGATAGCCTTTGCTGTAGTCGCGTCCTGTCGCGCCCAATGGCGATCAGGGTTGGCTTTCTTTTAGATGTAGCAGGCCTTCCATAATAGCTGGTGCCTTTTCTTTTCGCTCTCTGCGCTTGATGCGATCGATGATGGCCCGCTTCTTGACATCAACCGATTTCGAGCCGAGTAGAATATCTTCCCATAGCTGGCCCCTGGTCGATGATTTCGACTGTCCGCCATTCTCCCAATCCGATAAGCCGTCGGTCATGACATCCTTTGGTAAGGACGCCCTCAATTGAGACGACATGGTTGTTTCTCGGCGCGAAGTCGGCCACGGGCCATGTAGAGGATTGGCTTTGATGGCCGCAGAGTGTATATAGCTCGGAGCCGGGAAGATGTGCACCGTGAATTCCTTCTTATCGTCCGTTCCTGCAGCGCCGTCCTCGCTCCCTTCCCGGTGATTTGCGTTGGCAAAGGGTCCGGTGACGGCCGAGCCGGTTAGGAACGACTTGACAGAACCGTTGGATCGAGGCGTCGCGAGTTGGTACTTGAGAGGGCTGATCTTGACGAGCTCCTTGACTTTCGATTTGTCGCTGAGAACGGATATGAAGGAAGAGTCGTGGTTCTAGAAGCCCATGGTGTCAGCGAGAGAGCATTCCTTGGCATTAGTTCTTGCGAGACGCAAACTTACTTCCAGCTTCTTGAACACTTCGACATTGGCGAATCTTTGCAGCGAGTGCAGGACGGCGCGTCTCTCAGAGAATCTATTCGGCCTCGGAACGACGGTGACTTGAACCGTCCGCGCAGAAGCCTTGCTGGAAAGTTCCTGCAGAACCGAGTATCCGTTCTTAGACATAGCGCTGATTGTATCGTGAATGCGACTCCGTTGACTACGCCGTGTCGTGAACGGGGAGCGCAATTCCATACAGGAGCTCCGCAAAGTTGTCAAGCTCTGGTGGAGCTTTGACAGTGTCGAAACACGACAACCTACAGTTGCGCACGGTACTATGCGCCGGGGTGCCCCGCCAAATGGCGGGGAGGCAACGTTCTGCTACTAGAACTTCTAGAACAGCTTGGAAGACGTAGACGTACGCCTCCCGTCTAAACACCTATCTTCAGCAACTCCCGCAACTACGATCTACAGCTCACCGCGGATTCCTATCACCCGAACGCAAATCATACCTTTGGCAGCTTCTAGTCAACCAGTCAAGTACACTACGTCCAACAACCGCAACTCTCAACCGCGACCATGGCCGCCATCATCGACGCCGACGACGTGATGGAGCCCACCCTCCAGTCCATCCTCGACCAAAAGTCGCTGCGCTGGATTTTTGTCGGAGGAAAGGGTGGTGTAGGAAAGACAACCACGTCGTGCTCCCTCGCCATTCAGCTCGCCAAGGCCCGCAAGTCGGTCCTCCTCATCTCCACCGACCCGGCGCACAACCTGTCCGACGCCTTCAACCAGAAGTTCGGCAAGGAAGCCCGTCTCATTGAGGGCTTCACCAATCTGAGCGCCATGGAGATCGACCCCAACGGTAGTATGCAGGACCTGCTTGCGGGCCAGAACGAGGAGGTGGATGCCATGAGCGGTGGCCTCGGTGGCATGATGCAGGATCTGGCATTTGCTGTAAGCTTCCCTTCTGGTGCGCTAGTATATCTGCGGCAGCTTGTTTTCTAACGTGATTTATCTAAACAGATCCCCGGTATCGACGAAGCCATGTCCTTCGCCGAAGTTCTCAAGCAAGTAAAGTCAATGTCCTACGAAACAATCATCTTCGACACCGCTCCGACAGGTCACACCCTCCGCTTCCTCTCCTTCCCCAGCGTCCTCGAAAAGGCACTCGCAAAGGTCTCCCAGCTCAGCTCCCAGTACGGGCCCCTCCTCAACGGCTTCCTCGGCCAGGGCGGCCAGCTGCCCAACGGCCAGAATCTCAATGAGATGATGGAGAAGCTCGAGACGCTGCGCGAGACAATTTCCGAGGTCAACACCCAGTTCAAGGACGAGAACCTGACGACTTTCGTCTGCGTCTGCATCCCCGAGTTCCTGTCGCTCTACGAGACGGAGCGCATGATTCAGGAGCTCGCAAACTACGGCATCGACACCCACAGCATCGTCGTCAACCAGCTCCTGTTCCCCAAGAAGGGCAGTAACTGCGACCAGTGCACAGCCCGTCGCAGGATGCAGAAGAAGTATCTCAACGAGATTGAGGAGCTGTATGACGAGTTTAATGTCGTCAAGATGCCGTTGCTGGTAGAGGAGGTCCGCGGCAAGGAGAAGCTGGAAAAGTTCAGCGAGATGCTGACCACGCCTTACTCACCACCCGAAATGGATGCTTAAACGTGATTTCGTGTGCGGTTTAGCGGAGGCAGCGTCTTGAGGTGTTGAGGTGTTGAGAGGATCAAAAACACGACAATAAATACCTAGTTATGACTGGATGGGTAGCATGAGGCGTAAGAGTCACGAGTGGAGACATAGAATACATTCACAAACGATTGATACCCTGGTGATGTGTGCAGGAGACTTGATTTGACTACCTTGGTGAGTGACATCAGAGTGCCCTCAACGCTGAGCACCTATGGCGTAGCTTCATTATCCCAAATATCTCCTGCCCTATTGTTCTGCACTCTGGCAGCGACAGTAAAGCCCAATTGATTCCTTCCCCTTCCCAGGTACATTAAAAAGAAAAAGGCCGCCCTACCCCGTTCCCGAACGCCATTCAGACCATAAAAAGCCTTGTCCAAATTCCTCTTGGCTGTGTGAGGATATTGTTATGCCGTGTTTTTCCAGAATGATAATGATGAATGACCCCGTGATGCAATGCGTGTCGTCTAGTTTTACAATCGAAGAAGTCGAAGATGGCTATTGTAGGAACCGTCGATTGAGAGAGAGGCGCTTAAAGCTCTCTGTAGTCGCTTGGGCGGACACGCTTCTGCCGGTTCTGGTGACGGTGAGGGTTCACCGGCCTTCGGAAGTACGCGTCCTCGTCGTTGCTCGGCTGTGTGAAGTTGTGGCGTTGCTGCTGATTATAGCCACCCATACCGCCGCCATTCATCCCGCCACCGTTCATTCCGCCACCGTTCATTCCGCCGTTCATGCCATTCATATGATTCATGCCGTTCATGTTACCGCCGAAGTTGTTGTTGCCGTACATGTTGTTGTTGCCGCCCATACCAGGGAAGCCGCCGCCATTCATGGGGTTGAAGCCGGGCATACTCATCATAGGGTTCATCATACCCATCATTGGCATCCCCATGTTCATGTTACCCATGTTGCCCATGTTTGGCATGTTTGGCATATTGGGCATATTTGGCATTCCCATGAAGCCATTCATCATGTTCATGCCGCCGAAGCCCATCATCGGGTCCATGGGCATGTTGCCCATGCCGTTCATGCCGTTCATCATCGCTTGCTGTTGCTCTTGTTGCTTCTGCATCGCCTTGGGAGCCTTGGGGATCTTGGGGTTCTCCATCAACTCATCAGCAGGGCGCTTCTTGGAGTTAGACTCCACGGACGACGCGCGCTCAGCGGCGGGGCCGGACGGAGCGGTGGCAGGAGTTGCTGACGTCGACTTTGGTGTGCCATCGGCTTTCGGGCCTGTTGGCGCTGAGGCAGGAGCCGCTGTCGTGGCCGTAGGGGACTTTTGCGATGTGGGCGATTTGGCGTTTCCGTTAGCTGATTCTGTCTTTGTCTCTCCGTTTTCCTTAGGCGACGAGGCCGGCGGCGGCGAGGCTGCTGTTGGGCTCTTTGCATCGTTCTTCTCCTTGAGGAACTCCTTCATCTTCTCCGCAGCTTCCTCATCAGCCTTGAGGTCGTCAATCAAGACGCCTTCCGTAGAGCAATTAGGGCAGACGAAGTCCGATTCGATGAGAGCATTGGTTATGCAATCATTGCAATACGTCTTCTGACAGCACGGGGTCTTCATTGGGTCTATGAACATCTTCTTGTCGATAGGGCACTCGAGTCCCTGCTCCTGCAATTCCTTGTCTCCCATAGCGATTGCCTTGGCAGCAGACGCTGAAGACTTGGCTTTGGCCTGGAACTGTTCCCATGAAGCCTTGTCAGGCTCAGCGATCACAAATTCTCCCTCGGCATTGACCATGATGCCTGACGGTCTCTTGGTCTCGTCGTCACCACTCTGGGCGAGGGCAACCGACTTGTCCACTGTGCGCAAAAACGACCGCGGAATACCAGTCGTGCGCTTCACACGTGGACGATTGTCAAACTCTGGATCGTCATTTGTTGGGCACAACTGAATCCAGTGACCTTTCTCTCCACAGCGATAGCAAATGTAGCCATTGGGGGGGTCATGGTCAGGCACGTTTGCTGGCTTCTTAGAACCTGGCTTGAACACAGGGGTTTGGCTGCGACATTGTTAGAGTTGATTCGTTTAGGGCAATTGGAGATGGACATACTTTGACATTTCCTCCTGTTGGGCTGACCAGGACTCGGTTTGGGCCTGAAACATGGCTGCCATCTTCTCTTCTTCGGTCATGGCATTGTTCATCTGGCTGATGGCGTTGGATGCGGCCTTGGCTGTGGCTGATTTGGTGGTCTGTTCTTTGCGGGAGGAATTCTTCGCAGCAACGGGCATCTTGCCAGAGACATATCGAGCGCCTCGGCCTGCACCAGGCTTGGCGGCTGGAAGGCGACGAGCAACTACGGTCGTAGATCGGGGGATAATGGTCGTATCATCATCATACTCTAGAAAGATGTTAGATCGACAGCCGTGAGAAAACTGTTGAGATAGAACTCACCTTCACTGCCATCCTCGGAGTAAATGGCAAGGTCAAAGTCGGTACCGTCTCCCAAGCCGCTCTTCAGGATGATGTCGCGCTTCAGCTCGAACACGGAAATACCGGTGCCATCGAACTCAACTCGCGTCGGCTCCTTTTGAGACTTGAACTTGAAGAACACGGAGGACGCCATGATGTCTCTTTTGGTAAGGTCACAGGTGTAGACCGCTATAGACGTTGGCAGCAGTAAAGTGCGCAATCAAATATTTGATTTGAGTGGCGATGAAAACTTCGCGGGATACCACGAAGACGCAACGCTACCTCAACGTGAGTAGAGAGAGACTTGATGCTTGTAATTTTTCTTCTTGCTTGTGTGTGATGTCTCTTGCGCTTAGCACCTCTCAAGAGTAATGAAAATCAATTCTGATTTACTTGGAAAACAAGGAAATAAGGGTTGCGGAGTGTAGAGAAAGAGTACAATGCCAAAGAGGCCGACACCAGTTGGAGAAAAGTCAGTCCTTTGTGTGAATCCCTCCTAATATCCAAATCACCTCGACACCTTTCGCACCATCAGTCGAGAAAACCTCAGTTAGCCAGCGTTGGTTTCCAATTCAGTATTCCGATCGAAATGTGAGCGGTCGCGATAGTCTCGTGGCGAGACGCAAACAATCGTACAGGGAAAGAGTCGGTTGCTGAGCGGGCACTTGCTTCGCTGGTCACCTGGGGCCGAAAAGTCGTTTGGGCGATTGTCGTAGGGTGATGGAATCCGTTGCACAGTCGTATGAAGCACCCGTACGTAGGTTTCGGCAATGCGAAACGCGCGGTCGCAGGCTGAAAGGGAGCGTTGATGGTGATGTTCGTGGCAGGAAAAAGAGGAGTAATGCAAAGGGGGAGGAGAAGAGATATAGCCGGCAGTGACTGCAGGCAGACGGAGAAAGGTCGCTGGAACCCACTCTCTTTCTGGCCACTGCGACCGACCGGCCTGATTCTGCAGCACTGCCAGTTCTGGGCAAGCCTAGGCCAGGTGGCACGTGAGCTTCGGATTTTCCGGGAAGGCATTTTTCCGAGCTGTTCATGTCTGTTGGGTCTGGCCCTTCTAGGTTCAGCGAGTTCTACAATGGTCCCCATCTTTCTTCGGAAGGCGCCGTCGCAGCTGAGTAATCGCAAGAAACTTCCATCGTCTCTTCCGCCCAGGTCCCCGTCCGGGCCTCCACCATCTCGGCCGCGAACTTTCCGACAAGATCACGTGCTGTATCACGCAAAAGTTCTTTGGTCTCGGTCTTAGCGCCTCCACCTGGAACGGATACATTAGCAATGGTCAGGTCCCTTCCTGCTGATACGCCGCTGCTTGCCGAAGCGCATTGAGAGAACCCCGCCATCCGGAGCAGTTGTGGGCAGGTGCATGTAGAGGTACTCTCGGTGCAGCAGAATTCTGGTCAGCTCTTTTGCGCCCGATGTAGAAGGTCCAGTCCGGCGTCATGCCCCGCACCTCGTTGTTTAGAGGCCTTGCCCTCCCTCAGACTGCTCGAAAGTTTGTTCCTACAACTCCCAAACCTATCTCGTGTTGGCAGACCATCTCACAATCTCGCCGTCACTATCTTACTCCAGCTATTAAAGCACACCAAGCTCGAAAGACCAAGATGGCTCCTCAACTCGACGGCTACTTCAAGCAGGTCGATGCCGACACCGACCACTTCATCGACCGTCTCCGGAAGGCTGTTGCGATCCCCTCCATCTCAGCTGATGTTGAGCGCCGTCCCGATGTCGTCAAGATGGGCGAGTGGCTCGCTGCTGAGCTGAAGGGCCTCGGTGCCTCAGTCGAGCTTCGAGAGCTCGGTGAGCAGCCTGACAAGCCTGGCTTGCAGCTGCCCCCCGTCGTGCTGGGAAGATATGGAAGTGACAAGAACAAGAGAACCATCCTGGTCTATGGTCACTACGATGTTCAGCCCGCCGAGAAGACTGATGGCTGGGCGACCGAGCCTTTCGAGCTCTCCGTCGACGACAAGGGTAGAATGTTCGGCCGTGGCTCCACGGACGACAAGGGACCCGTTCTCGGCTGGTTGAACGCCATCGAAGCTCACCAGAAGGCCGGCATTGACTTTCCCGTCAACCTCCTCATGTGCTTTGAGGGTATGGAGGAGTACGGTTCCGAGGGTCTTGACGACCTCATCAATGCCGAGGCCAAGAAGTTCTTCGCTGACGCCGATGCCGTCTGCATTTCCGACAACTACTGGCTTGGAACTGAGAAGCCCTGCTTGACCTACGGTCTCCGCGGCTGCAACTACTACTCTGTCGAGATCAAGGGCCCTGGCGCCGATTTGCACAGCGGTGTCTTTGGCGGCACTGCTCAGGAACCCATGACTGACCTGGTCCGCGTTCTCGGCTCTTTGGTCGACACTGACGGCAAGATCCAGATTCCTGGCATCATGGAGCAGGTTGCCCCTGTTACCAAGGACGAGGAGACTCTGTACGATGGCATTGCATTCACCATGGAGACTCTCCATGAGTCTCTCGGCAGCAAGACCACGATCTACGAAGACAAGAAGTCTACGCTCATGGGAAGATGGCGCTACCCCTCCCTCTCTGTCCACGGTGTCGAGGGTGCCTTCTCTGCCCCTGGCGCGAAGACTGTCATCCCAGCCAAGGTCACTGGCAAGTTCTCCATCCGTACCGTGCCCAACATGGAGGAGGAGGCGACCAACGAGGCTGTCTACAAGTACGTCAACGAGCAATTCGCAAAGCTCAAGAGCAAGAACACCATGAAGGTTTGGGCTCAGCACACCGGCAAGTGGTGGGTTGCGTCGCCGAAGCACTGGAACTTCTCGGCTGCCGCCAAGGCTACCGAGCGCGTCTGGGGCGTGCAGCCTGACTTCACCCGTGAGGGTGGAAGGTATGAACACCATCTCCTGATACGAAGGACGTCCACTGACAATAGACATAGTATCCCCGTCACCTTGACCTTTGAGCAGGCCACCGGCAAGAACGTTCTTCTTCTGCCCATGGGTAGCTCCACTGACGGTGCTCACTCCATCAACGAGAAGCTGGACAAGCGCAACTACATCGAGGGCATCAAGCTCCTCGGCGCTTACCTGCACTACGTCGCCGAGGAGCCCATTGCATAAATCGACTGTGGATTTGGTGAGGTCGCTACGCCAGAGGGCAACTAGGAACCGCGATATCTGTCATGGCATGCAGTGGGGCGATTGCCTTATTGCATTGCCAGGGCGAGTTGAGTTCGGCTTACAGGCCGACTACTGACGGCATATCATGCATGCCGAGAGCGCTGCAATAGGTCGTTGGCCAGATGGGGATCAACGGACAAGAAGCTGCTGATTTTCACTGCAAGGTTCAGATCACAAGTCACGTAATTCAAATACCCAAACAAATTCATATTAAACCGTGCTCAATTTCGTCGTTTCTAAATGCGGGTTATTAGTGCGTAAAGGGTCAGTCATGATCGTTCGTCCATCGTGGTATATAATTCGTGTTCCAGAAAGACCAGGTATCCAAGCAAAACGCCGGTGAGAGGACAAAGCCTACATGGCTCGGGATATCTCGTGCGTGTAAGTGGTAGGAGAAAAGGGGGGGTATCGGGAGCTTTCAACAGGAGCTCTACTTCTTCCGCGCCGTCGCCACTCGACGGCTCCGTCTCTTTGCCACAACCTCTGGGTCCCAGTTTCCAGAGAACATATCCTCGAGGTCATCCTCATCCTCGGAATCAAATACAATCTCGACCTCGCTGTCCGACGTGTCCTTGCGAGCGCGCTGGGCGGCACTGTCGTCGCCGCCGCCACTACCGTCGCCGTTCCGGTCTACACCATCCTCGTCTCTGTCACTACCTACTCCGTCTCCGCTGGATACCTCTGCCACGGCTTCCTCATCCTCTGATACGTCGTCGTCTTCGTCATCAGAATACTCATCATCCCGGACGTCGACGACGTCCTCCCAGCTGCGAAACGGTACCACGCGCTCAACCTCAAGGATGAACTTGCCAACCTTGTATTTTTGGCTGAGCTCCTTGGCGTCGACGTACTTCCACCCGAGTTTCGCGCTGCAGAGGACGCATGTGATGTCCGCGACGACGTGCCAGCCCGTGACGAGCTGGCGGTTTTCGCATTTTCCTATGCGGACGTTGGCGAGGCTTCCCTTGTTTTTGCTGTTGTTTGCGCCGCCTGCATTCTGGGTAGTGGAGGAGGATGTGCTATTGGCGGTGCTTGTACTTGGGGTGACGGTCGGCGCGATGAGGTAGGCGCGGCCGTAGCGGCCTGTGAAGCCTTTGCTTACGATTTGGGAGGAGAAGGCGATGTCGCAGGAGCAGGTTGAGCAGCGGAGGGTGTCTGGCTGGGTGCGCGCCAGAGAGGTTGCTTTATTGTTTCTGTTGGTGTTGTTGTTGGCGGTGGGGGCTGTGCTTGTGGATTTTGACTTGGAGAGGATATCTGGTATGCTGCTAGCTGTTGTTGTGGTGGTGGTGGTGGTGGTGGTGGTGGTGGTGGTGGTGGTGGTGGTGGTAGCATCTTGGTACGTCGGCGGCGGCGGGCTGTTTGGCGGTGTCACGGTCTCGTCTGTCGTTGAGGAGGTCGGCGAGGAGCTTAGGGAGGGGACTTGGCTTGCGTCTGGGGTTGAGTCCGGGGACGTCGAAGCTATTTCTGCCGCTGCTGCTGCTTCTGATGCGGACGAGGTCCGGCGCGGGGAGCGGCGGCGGAAGGGGATGATGTTGAAGCTTGGGAGGAGGTAGGTTGGGAATGTGGGACGGGAGACGACGATGTTGGGCGCCATCGCGAGGATGGTGGGTTTCTTTAGAGGGGAGAAGAAGGTATCCGCCGCACCTTCGGAAGCCTTGGACCCGAAGAAAGAGGTGGCGGCGATATGGTTTTCTTGGAGTTTCTTTGTTTTCGCTTGTATGTGTAAACTACCTACGGCTTGTTGGAGTTGTAGATGGGGGCGGCGCCGGTGGTGGAGGGTTCTATCATGGTATCCCGGCGAGGGCTCCGGTGGAAGAGGGATCGTCTTCTCTGGATGATTTAATGTGAGGAAAGCATGGCTTGTTTTGGACGACGACGACGATGACAATAGCGAATGTAAGTAGGAGTTTCCAACGCCTCTTTAGACTTGTTCACGATTTGGATCCTTTGCGACTGAAAGGGGTCCTCGGGAGGTCATGGAATCATGTATAAGGCAAGGCAAGGTAGGTAGGAATGAAGGGTCGGAGGCGATTTGGGGTAGGTAAGGTAGGTAGTTTGGTAGATCAAAGCCCGGCGCAGGGGCGCAAGGTCGACAGGGAGGAGGGGAAAAGGCGAGTGACTGACTTATGGCACGAGACAGTGAGATGGAGGGGTAGAGGATTTTTGGGCTGGACTTTTTCTTCTTCTTTTTTGGCCTGGCCACCGCCCAAATGGTGTGTAACGTGCAGATTTGCGAGCGAGTGAATGATTCGGGTTGTTGGAGGGTAAGGTAACGCGAGGGAAGGGAAGGGAAGGTAAGGCACCGTTCCGTCCGGCAAGCAAGCAAGCAGCATGTCACTGTCACAGTCTCTGGTGGACCCCGCCTGTTTTGCGGTGAGTGGACGACGGGAAGTGCGAGATATCAAAAGGGTCTGGGCGCAAACGTCGGACATGCTATGTTTGTGTACTTCCGTTTTGATATAGTAGGTATGCGCAGATGTTTGGATCTCTAGGTAGATAGTTCTTCTGCCCGGACTTGAGATGGAAGAAGAGGGCTCGCTGACACTTGATTCAGCTAGGTAGACATGAAGGCTAAAGAGGAGCTGTGTGATGTTTCGCCCTCGAACACTTTGATATCGTCAAGTAAGACATTGCAAAGATGCTACTTAGCAACCCGCCTCTTCGGGAACATCTGCTCGGCGAGCGGCCAGTATCGGAGCAGCGGGCGTCGGTCATTGTTCAGTACCTACTTACCTTGGGTACAGTACCAGGTAATCAATACAAGAGGGATCACTCGGATGCGGTAGTGTACGTTCGGTCGAAAGAGGTTCGAGCTTCCCCACCTGGCTCTATCGCCCCAACAGCCCAATGTTATCGATAAGATGAGCAACTGGAAGCGTGAGCCGATAACCTAGGCAAGACTAAGGTAAGAGACGACGGCCAGGTGGGTGGAGTCTTCCCAAGTGGTGAGATTTCCATTTGGCGCCGGCAGTGTTTGTGTGTGTCACTGTCACTGGACTTCCGACTCCACCGCCGGGTGGGTGTGGATGATCACCTCATTCGGCCTCCATCAGATGTGACCCCTCTCTTCCTCCAACGGTTGTGCGGCGGACGGGAGAGAAAGGGTCCCCACCTTCCTTCATGTCGTTGGAGACTCAGTGAGCATCTGTAGGATGGAGAGGCTTCTAGAAAAAGCGAAAACCCAAAGATGAGTGTTTCGAGTTCCAGAGGTTATTGCTCGGTAGCTTTGCGGGGGTCGAAGGCCGTCACAAGTATCTTGCAGCAGCATCATCCAAGATCGTAGATGAGTATTTGCCGTCGTTATCTGTGGACCAAAACGCCTCGCAGCTTTCGCTCGGTTTCGGTGAGGGCGTAGTGGGGAGCGTCAGATGGTCCGTCGGGCTGTTAGCTGCTGACCAGAGACCGGCGCCGATTTAGATGCGACATCTCTGGCCACTTGACTGCACCCAGCATTAAAATAGACAGTACGGAATAGCAGCTTCAATTTTGAGTAGGTAGACGCTTAGTTGCTTTTACTACGAAACGAGGAGACCAATTTCGACCAAAAGACTTAAAGCACCGAGAGAAGTCGATATTCGTCAAGGTATTCATTACGCAGTATCCGTACGCACTCGAGAAAGGAGGATGCTGCGGTGGATGACTCGCAAATCATGAATGTGGGGGACAAAATGGTCAAGTGACCCGAACGGAAACACGGACCCCAGGAAGCCCAAGCATGCTAGTTGCGGCACTGCATGGCATTTGGGCAGGCATTGACGAGGCATCCTGCAATATTGCCCATGGCAATGTGTGAATATAGACCAACCACCGTAACACCATGCGCTCCGGTGGCCTGCTCGCCCGTCACGATTGCGATGGCCGAGAAAACGCGGCCTCCGACCATGCCGGGGCTCCGGCTGAAAGGGGATCCATCCGTTCAAGCAGGTTGCGAACTTGCGAGATCTTACGCCATCGTCATATGAAATGTTTGGACTATCCATGGCGGACGTCTGGAATACAGTACTGTGTACGTAGAGAGCTCAGCCAGAGTTTCGAGCTTGGGGATGGATAAGCTGGCCTATCGCAAACCCTAATTGTCCTGATGCGAGGACCCCGACATTCTCAGCGGTTATCTGTCACTCGTGTACGAAGTATGCGACGATCCATGACAGTGTGCTTGAACTGCTTGCGTAACATCTCCTCACTTTCGTAAGTTGATGATTGAAAAAGAGGACAAGCTATCGGGCCAACGCTACAAATGTCAAGGTTGATCATCCTTGTGGAAGCCCATCAAGAGTACGGATAAAGCACTGTGATACTGTGAGCGCCAGGGAGAGAAACTCATCTACACAGTATCTGACCGTTTCCGTCCAAGACATGATTACCCCAAGTTCTGGGTCGGGCTAGGGTGGCTGGGCAGCATGGGCTCGGTTTGGGGGGATTGACCACGTGCATGTGAAGTGCAGCCCACGGCCTCGTTCGATTGGCAGAGGCTGCAGGAGAAGCAGTCAAAGTGCCAAGCGCCGTGCCGGGCCCGGATTGGGAGCGTCCACCCGAGTTGGATGATTGCTGGCGGGAGACTGATACTTGGTGACAGGAGAATTGGGGCATCTCTGACTGGTCTGTACGGATAGATGGTCGAGATAGGCTTGGATGCGTACCATTATTGGAGTCTAGAGATAAAGGGAATGTAACTGCTTCAAGTCAGTCAATGAATCAGCACCTAATGAGTAGATACTAGATCGTGGACTACAAATGGCCGAACAGCAACAGCCAATGCAATGCAGCCCAAGAAACAACGTGCTTTGCTCCCCATACCGCCTCATACAGTGCAACATGGAAGGATGGCGCATTGCAAAGGGCTCCAACCGGTTTCGTAAGCCTAGACCAGTGGCTCCTCCCATGGACCGTGGACCATGGACGCCCCCTTGCCAGCGAGAACAATGGGCAAACTGAAAACCTCTGGAACCTGTGGAAGAGACAGCTGATGCCGATGATGATCGTGGCGAGCAAGCAAACAGATCATGGAGTACCGATGTGAAGTGACGAAAGTAAAGTGTCACTGAGGATTGCGATTGAGTGAGATCCCAGCAATTGAAAGTCTGAATTGACGTGGATGGGATCAATGGCATTGACTGTATTGGATGGTGAGGAGGAGACATGGATGATGGATGATGGGATCCGAGGGAAGAAGGGGGCAAGGTGGAGATGCCATGGCTGATTATGACTGTTTCCTTCCCTTGTATCCGTACGCAGCCCAGTACTGTGTAGGTTTCCCACTGGACCGGTGGGCTTGGCCGCTTGTTTTTGGTGGCTGCCACCCCTTGAGACTGCCATTGCTGCCCATTGGAAAGTGGCACGGCACGGCTGGGTGGTGGTTGCTGCGTGCTGCACAGTGGACAGCCCAAGTGGTGGTCCCCTTGGCTGGACTAGGTACCTTCTCCGCCACGCTAGACGTTTCCACCCTTTAATTTTTTTTTTTTTCTTTTCTGTAGGAGAGAGATATGGCCTTTCCGCTGGGTTTTTATTCACCACTCCGCCCGCCGTTTCTTCCAGTTCCCTTCTTCCTGTCTTCCCCATCGCAACGCTTCACCGCCGATATCCTGTTCGCCTCACCCGCAACAACCGCCGTTCAAAAGAAAGAAAAAAAAAACAAGGACAAAACCTCAACGCAAATCCTCGCCCCCGCGCTACTACATCAATCGATCTACACAAATCGGCAGCCTCATCAGCTAAACCAAGAAAACCCACACCACCTTTTCGAAAGAAAGACTACCATCGTCACTACTTGACTCTCGCCTCACTTTTCAACCACCAATCACCAACTCATCGACGATCCGGTTCCGATTTCCCGAGAACCGACCTCCCAACCCAATTCAACCTCAATACCAGATTTTTAGCTACCGAACCCCCGAAAATCAATCGCAATGGCGCCCATGAATCAGGTCAACAATTACAGTAGTAGTAATTATGGTGAGGCCATTGTCCGTCAGGCCAATGTCCTCGCCAGCTGCTACATCGTCGATTCCGCCGCGACTCTTCGCGGTCTCCACTACTGCACTACCGGCGCCGCAGGTACGTCGCATTCTTCCATTCCACAGCACCACAAGCACATGTCTCTCCTCCTTTTTCCTGCCTCCCCCATGTACGCCCATCTTCAGCCTCAAACTTGTAGATACGCCGCCGATCACTCGGGGTTGTTGTCTCCTGTAACCTTCCCACCCCCTATCATCCCCACACAGCTGCATCACCCGTCTCCAGAAACTTGGTAAACTGCATGGATCATGGACTGACATATTTTGGAATCAACAGGGGCCGAGTGGTATTCCTGAGGTCCCCTCCTCAGGACTACCATCCCCTCCTTCAAGTCCCCCCCTCGCGGCCATAACGGCATCCAACGAGCTCGCTCTGCTTCCCAAGGCCAGCAGCAGCAGTTCCAAGAGGCGCGATACCGTGCCCGGCAAGAGGATTAGCCGCAGAGGGGGGGCAGCACTTTCGATCAGGGAAGAATGTGAAAGGTTCTTTTGTGAGTCCATGAGGGCTGTGTTCCGCGGTGAGACGGACACTGGCTCGCGTGGCTCCGGCCTGCATCAAGGTGCTTATTACTACAACAACGGCAGCAGCAACGCCAACAACATGCTGCCCACTCCGCCGCCAGACGAGGACTTGGCCGTTCAACCACACGTCCCGTTCGGGGGACGCGGCGGGGACGGTGCGGAGGGCTTCACGGCCCCTGCTGCACCGGCCCCGGCCACCGCGTGGTTGGAGGTTTGGGACTTTGCCGGCGGCGCGAGTTTCAGGGCCTTTGTGGCGGACGACGGGGCTGAAAAGTCCCTGTTCGCCCTATTTGACAGGAATGTCATTGGACGTGACCTGAAGCCTGCGTATGTTCCACACACCTCTATCTGTCTTAGACCCCGTCACACCAAGAACCCATAGCTAACATTCCTTATAGGCTTATGGCGCTGATGGAGCTGGTCGACGGACCGCTCAACTGCCAACACCTGGTCGTCTGCATCGACCGGACCATTGAGGAGGAGGATGCAAAGTCGCTGATGAAGAGCCTGCAGTGGATCGGCTTTGAGCTGACGACGCTGGATCACTGGGCGAGAGACGTGGACGTGACGAGCAACCAATGGCTGTTTATGAGCATGGAGATTTAGCATTACTTACCCCGGACAGCCTTTCATCGTCCGCGTTCTGTTTGGAAGGGGGTTTTCCCCTTCCTCACTCATCAGTTCTTTGAGCTTGGCAGTTGGGGAGTTTTGGCTTTTTCAGGCATCTTCGTCTCTCGTCTTCCTCTAGTGTTTGCACGGCATCGCGGGCTACTTTCTCTGCTTTGAGCAAATGTTTTCTTTACGCTTGGAGTACGCACTTTGGTCTTGTCTTTGGTACACAAACAGCTCGAGCTTGGAACAAAACAGCAGGATACGGAATTTGTGTCAGGAAAAATGAGGAATCGTCAAAAGCATTGAACGCAAAGGGATTCGAGTCTCGTGTTTCGGGCATCTTTCTCTTTTCTCGCATCTGTATCTATACGCTAAAAGTTGACGGGCTGTTTCTTTTCAATTACTCTTGTAGCTAGTGTGGTTCATCACAACTACCTTAGCCAAAGGGTTTAGTTTTTGGTACTTCAACCAGTTGCTTTATTGAGTTGGGGCACAGGTGCTTTTCTCTCTTCTCCTCTGGAACTTCAAACCTCGGGGCTACTTGATATTTGGCAAGAATAGCACACAAAAACGCAAACAGACACAGTGTGAAATCACAACATGAGGAAGTTTCTTTCTTTGCATGTCTAGTATTCGGGCGAATGTGAGCGTCAAGATTGTCACTACAAAAAACAACTCCAGGCTTTCCTGTAAAATAATAACAATCGAAAGGTTGCCAAAACGTCTAAAGTGCTCTTTTGTCCCTTCTTCTGAAATGGCTCGGTGTCCGCCCCCTTTTTTGGTCCAACACGCACAAGGGAATAGGTAAGCAACGCTTGACTTTCTTCTTTTCTTCCATTCGTCCATCTCAACTACCAGCCACAAGATGGGATACTCTATTCGCCTCTTGAAATGGTCTCAAATGTTCTCCTCAAACTGCCTCACCTTGAGCCCCTTGTCGGCCAAGAAATCCTTGACCTGCTTGACGGTGTACTCCCCGCGGTGGAACATACCCGCCCCGAGCGCGGCATCCGTCGTCGTCTTGGCAAACACCTCTTCAAAGTGCGCCGGCTCGCCCGCGCCGCTAGACGCGATGACGGGGATCTTGACGGCGGCCTTGACTTGAGAAATGAGCTCGAGGTCGAAGCCGCTGTTGGTGCCGTCCTTGTCAATGCAGTTGAGCAAAATCTCGCCGGTGCCCATGGCCTCGACGGCCTGGGCGAGCTCAACGACGTCCATGTCGCGCGTCTCGCGGCCGCCCTTGATGGTGCAGGCGTACCAGCAGTACTCCTCGCCCTTGGGGCCCGGCGTGGAAGTCCTGAGGATGTTGTGGCGCGTGGCGTCCGTGTTGGGGACGTAGACGCGTTTGGGGTCGACGGAGACGACGACGGCCTGGTTGCCGTAGGCTTTTGAGATTTGCTCAATGGCCGTGTTGCCGAAGAGCTTGCGTCCCGCGCCGTAGTATTCTTCGGCCGCGAGGACGGCGTCGGAGCCGATGGAGACCTTGTCGGCGCCGGATTTGAAGTACATTGTCGCGATCTCAAGGGCCGAGACCTTAGTGCCGTCCGTGTCGACCGTGTCGCGGATGCCACCGCCGATGGTGAGCGGGACAAAGACGGTTTCCGAGGTACGGCGGAGGATCTCGAGCATGGGCACGTCGGCTAAGGGGCAGTCGCGGAAGCTGGTGATGTTGAGGAAAGTGACCTCGTCTGCGCCCTGCTCGTAGTAGCGGCGGGCCATCTCGACGGGCTTGCCGAGGTTGCGGACGGCGCCGCCTTCGGACTTTTCGCGGACGTCGTACTGGTCGCCCTTTGTGACGACTAGGTCTCCTTGGTCGTTTGTGCGGACGTCGAGGCAGGCGATTACGCGGCGGGTGAGGCCGTCTTGGTAGGCGGCGGCGGTGTTGGTCTCGGCGGCGGTTGATGGTGCAGCACTTGCGGCGGCCAGGTTCGCGGCGCCGGAGCCGTCGAGGAAGGCGCGGAGGCAGCGCAGGCCCGCGGCGCCGGACTTTTCGGGGTGGAATTGCGTCGCGAAGATATTACCCCTGGCGAGGGCGCCGACGAAGGTCTCGTTGCCGTAGGTTCCCGTCGCGACGGTCCAGCCTTGGGCTTCGAGCTCGCCGCGGACATAGGGGTACTTGTAGGTGTGGACGTAGTAGTATTTCGAATCCGGTCGGAGGTCGTAGAGGCTCGCGCCGCCCGTGTTTGCGCTGTTCCAGCCGATCTGCGGGACGGACTTGGTAGAGGCGTCGAAGCGGTCGAGGCGACCCTTTACGACGCCGAGGCCGGGAACTTCGGGGTCCTCGAGGGAGCCTTCGAAGAGGGCCTGGATGCCGACGCAAATGCCCATGAAGGGCTTGCCTGAGGCGATGTGGGCGGAAATGGCGGGGAGGAAGCCGGCTTGGGAGAGTTGGGAGAGGCAGTGGCCGAAGTGGCCGACACCAGGGAGGATCAGTTTCTGGAAGGGGAGGAGAGGTTAGTTGCTTGGAGGCTTTCCCTACGGTATACTGAGACCAATTGCTTACTTCTGCTGAGGGAACATCTTCGGGCCTTCTAATCCACTCGACTTCGTAGCCGACCTTCTCGATGGCGTTCACCAAGCTGCGAACATTGCCCGCGACGTAGTCCAAGAGGTGGACCTTTGGCATGGTGGGCAAACTGGAGGAGAAAGTGTGTGTTAAAGGGTTGGGTATATTGTACGTCTATAGAACAGAAAGTAGATCAAAGATTGAGAACGAATGGAATGCGCTGTTATAAAGTATCGTCGCTCGGCGAAGAATACGTCGGACTGTGAGTCAACAGAGCGGGATGTGTGCAAGTCCGATTGTGAGTCGAAGGGCGTCGTCTCTGGGAAATTTACTTGCGATAGCGGGGCAGAGGGGTTGTGACTGTGAGCATGGAAAGTCCAGCAGTTGCCCCGCACCAGCGAGCAGCGGCCCCTGTTCGATTGACCTCTGGCCTGTGCCAATCTGCCGTCGAATTGACTGGGGGCGGGTAAGCTTCTTTCCCTTGGAATGGGAATTCTGCAATTATCTTCAACATCGAAGCTTCAGCGGGTTTTTTCGACGTCGCACACTCTTTTCGCGATGCGCTTACAACTCGATCTTCGAATTCCCTGACGCACCTAGAATCTCGCAGCTGGCGACCACATAACACAATCACACGAATCCTTAGTCCAATGCGCCGTTCCCATCAGTCAACTGGAGCGCCCTAACAAGGAATTGTCGCGTAAATATGGCGACCAACGAGCCAACGTCTTCAGTCGCGCCGGTGATTGCGGCGACCGCGCCCGCTGACGAACCACCGAAAGAAACATCTAATCAGATTGATGGCGGCGACGACTCAGATTGGGAGTACGAGTACTCGACCACCGAGACCGAGGTAAGCCGTCGCATTGAAGCGAGCAGGAAGATGCAATTGCTAACATTGCTAACCATCCCAGACATACTACCTGACCGTCGATCTCTCCATCCCACAGCTTCTGCGGCGCAAACGGAACATGCCAGTGTCAGGACGAGGCGGATATCACTACAAACACTGGGCAGGCCCTACCACCAGGAAACCCGACGAACCGAAACACCACCGCATCATGTCGGAAGACGATCAAAATGACGACGAGCCAGCGGACGAGCCCGAGGATGAAGAAGAGATTGATCAGGGACAGGCGGACCCAGTTATAGACAGCTACGACGCAGATTTTGAATCTGAACAAGCTGCTGAGATCCAGATATTGGACCTGCATTCCGACAAGCCAATGTTCGCGTATAAGGGCAAGATCTTTGAGGGACAGTGGACGCGAAACTTGGGTACAGAAGTAATCTTCGCCGAACACGAGCACGAGGAACCCATCCCAGCTCTGCGACATCTTCCCGGCGGTGTCGACATGCTCGCGGCCAGCTGGTCGAGGATCAACACGACGGAGAAGCGCTTAGAACCAAAACACGAGGCGGCGACGAAAGACGACCCCCTCAAGGACATTAGGAGGCAGCACGGAATTCATATACCCATCACGGCAGACAAGACGGGCGAGCGCAAGCGTCAAACGAGGTTTCTGGAGAATTTGATGGCTTTAAAGGTAAAGAGAGGGGAAAAGGACGAGGTCACAGTGTATGCCCACGCCGCGCCGAAGCCAACAGACATAGGTTCGAACAGCCGGAGGAAAAGACGGAAGCCGTTGCCGGATGGACCAAAGAAACGTACAAGCCGGGGCGGCGGCGGCGTCCGCGGGAGAGGTGGCTCTTCCGCATTGGGAACGGGTGGTTCCGAACGAAATGAGCGACAAGGCAGCAGCGTTGCAGAGGCTGCGGCGACCTCGCGGGATGGGGCTGCGTTGTCGACGCCAACGCCGATGACATGGGCGAACCTAGATGGACAGGCCGGAAGAGCGGAGAAACATTCGGGCCCGAAAGATGATGACGAGGCAAGCGACAACGACTATGAAGACGACGACGAGGATGGCGGAGATTTGGAGTAGGCCTTGTCAGGAATGCGTCCCTCAATATGGGATACGAGTTTCATCGGACCATACAAACTTTACCTTCGTAATGGTATATCTCGCAATCCGAAATTAGTATATGCTGTTGCCTGTTGGTGACAATGAATGAAGATGGCGCCCAGATAGGGCGAAGCCTCGGATGAGACAGTTGAAACGATGTGACAGCCGTTGCGAGGCTCTACTGTGGTAGGGCCCCGTCCGGTGCCGGGCTCTCCTGGGCTGGCACAAAGAATCTCAGGAGAGACATGCATGGAGGCATGATGTGGTCAGGCTGACGAGAGGTCCCGGGGAGACTCGAACGGGGCCAGAATGTGGCCTCGGCAGCAGTGCGAGCACGGCTAAACCTAGAGCTGATGAACTATGATCATCCAAAAAAGAGTCCTGCGACACCAGCACTGGCTTACATGAACTATGGAAAAATGTCCGCCTCGTGAGAAATACATGGGCTGAAAGCTGTTGGCCGCTAGAAATGGATACTGGTGCCGGTAGGTAGTCAGCGGGAAAATCGGAGATTAGTTGGGAATACTTCTAGAAAGATTGTCTTGCTATCCTATTAAAACGGGAAAAGGGCTTGCAAGAAAAGCCTCAGAATGGAGTTTTTTCTACTACTTACATAATAGCTCACGGGTTTCGGCAGATGGGTAGGAGCCTTGTGTCTGCAAATTCATCCCGGCACGTCACTCAGGAAGCCCACCCGCCCACTGCCAGCTCATATGGGGATGGGGACGGGGAGCAACTTTACTGAAGGATGCACAGCAAGACGACTCGTGATGGCTGGATGGCTACAGGGATCGGCTGCTTTTCATAGTCACTCAGCGACATAGAGGCAGTGGTACGGTGTACTGCGTATGGATACGTAAAGAGTTAAAGACAAGGCGCGAGTAAAGGCAGGGCGGGTGGAGAGAGTCAGCAGCGTGCGGAACTGGAGCTTTACTCCTCGTGGGAATCTGCAGGGATCTGGTTGGTCCCGCAGATCATTGAACCCTCCCGGTCTGCTGCCTGCATGAGGTACCTGGAACCTCGGTGCCATTCCCTTCCTCTTTCTGTTAGACTTAGGTAGAGATACCTGCCTCTTTGAGGCCGTCATGGTGAATAATGCATGTTCCTCTGCTCTAGTCAGGAAGTGTACCAACATCTATCTAGTATCCCCGTTGTAAGGTACTCTGTACGGATACAGTAAAGGATTCAAGAAAGAAATCCAGATCCCTTGGTCGGGTGGCGGGCTGCATCAGAGACAGACCCAGCCAGTAGTGGAACATCCATCCGCACCCCCCTCCAATCCCCTCCCGTCTGCCGTCCTCCCACGTCCAGGTTCATGGCCGAATCCAGGACGAAGTAACCGTACGGATACGTCCCTGATGATTGATGCCCTTGCTTCCCTGCTTCCTGCGGGTTGCTGCCGCTGTCGCTCTCGCCGTCCGCCGCCCGCGCATACCGCTGACCGCATACCGCTAGGTTCCGTCCCAAAACCCAACCCAAAGCTTCCTTCTTACTTGTACTGCTCAACTCTTTTTTCCCTTACACACTTGCGCCTAACAAACTTTCCTTGTCCAACAACACAAAACACTTGACCAAGGGGCCTCAGCGTCCGACCGGCCATGCATATCCGCTCGCACCTCCCACCTTCGACATCTCAATAGCAGACTGCACCCTACATGTACACTTGGTGATGCTGTGCGAGACCCCGCTGGCTTTCGCAAGACGTGCCGGCATCCCGAAGCCCCTCCGAACCATCACTCAGCCTCCATAACTGCGAATAGCATATTACCAATCGATCCCGGCGCCCTATCTTGTATCGGCATCCTTTGGAGAGTCTTTTGTTATTCTCACGAACCCAATTCCTATCCTGCGAGGCCTGGAGCCGCCAACGAACTTATCCGATGTATTATCTACGCCGCTTCACCATCTTCCTCGCCTTCTTGGTATCGGTGTCGTTCCTCGCATGGTTCCTGCCCCGCTACCTCAACCCAAACCCGCCAGACCCGGCCAAGCAGCGCGAGGATAAGAAATGGGTCAGCAGCAGCCCGTACTGGCTCGATCGTCAGGCCTGCCGTTGGCTGAGTCTTTGCGGCGTTCATCATCTCTCATGGGATCCAGCTTCTCTCTTCCCCTACAAGAACGACTCCGACGCCGGTGATTTGCGGTTGGAGCTTAGGTCATTGGATGGACGCCATTCTGGGTGGGAGACGGCTCCCAAGAAGCGCTCGCCGCGGGACGACAAGGAAAAGAGAAGGAAGGTCTTGAGGGAGATTCCCGACTACGTTCTCAAGTATGCGCCGCTAGTCCACCTTTATTCTGGCGAGAACTTCTGGCCCGCCGACATTGCGGAACACATTCGGCACATGACGCCCTACTTGGAAAAAGAGGCGTTGAACCGTTCCCTGATTTTGTCAGATTTGCACATGCTCAACAAGGAGGACGGCATGGTCTACCTCACCAGCGATGACGATGTCGAGCAGAGACCCGAATGGCTGCACAGTCATGTTGGTATTCCTGAGCCATGGAATGATGACGAAGACGACGGCGACAAGGACGAGACGCCCGACAGCCCAGTTGGGGACTCTGAACACCCACGACATGACACTGAGGATACAACGTGGTTCGACGTATCTCGCGATCACCCCGTTCACCGCATCTCGGACCCTCGTCGCTATCCACAATTCCCAGAAGGCTCCGCCCGCGCCGCTGGCTTCCAGCACCGCCGCCGAGACCAAGGCCAGAAGCCCATTCCCGACACGCCAACCCACAAGCCCGATCAGGAAGGCTACTCAAAGGCTCCGGCCGTTCTCGTCCTCGTCGACAAGGGCTCCGGCATCGTCGACGCTTTCTGGTTCTTCTTCTACTCGTACAACCTCGGTCAAACGGTCCTGACTATTCGCTTCGGCAACCACGTCGGCGACTGGGAGCACTGCATGATGCGGTTCGAGAACGGCGTGCCCCGTGGCATCTTCTTCTCGGAACACGAGGGCGGCCAGGCTTACACATACAACGCCGTCGAGAAGCGGGGCGAGCGTCCCGTCATCTACTCTGCTGTTGGCTCCCACGCAATGTATGCGCAGGCTGGCGAGCACCCTTACGTTCTGCCCTTCAAGATGCTCAAGGACGTGACCGACAAGGGACCCCTCTGGGACCCCTCCAAGAACGCTTATACCTACTGGTACGACTATGTTCAGGATCTGGACGAGGACCTCGACGACGACCTCGATGACGAGGTCGACGTGGCTAGCGGCCACCGGAAGGAAAACCCCACCAGTCTGTTCCCCACGGCCGAGAACCCCGACGCGCCGACGTCATGGTTCCATTACGCCGGCCCTTGGGGCGACAAGCTCTACAGCTTGGCCGATATGCGCCAGTGGCGCTTGTTCGCGCAGTACCACTACGTCTCCGGGCCGTTAGGCCCAAAGTTCAAGCGGCTCGACCGCGAGAAGCTTTGCATCACTACCCGCTGCCGGATCCTGGATAGCTTAAAGCCCGGGCAGACGTGGTATAGTTAGATGAGTTTCCTTTTTGTTACAAATAATGGTATAGATGAAGTAAAGAACAAACAAGCCTCAATGGAACAATTTCATATAAAATTGATACCTTGCATTCAACATTGTAGTGAGTGCACAGGTGAAGAGGGCCGCTTTAAGGAGGGGAAGTATGTAAGTGTGACCTCTGCTTCCCAGTTCCAGAGAGCTCAACAGCCTCGGAATCATCCCCTGATCATACCTAGGTGTGTGTAAAGATGCGCGCATGTAATACGCAACTGCCCAGAATACTAGAGTTACGAAGTCCTTCTCACCTGCCTGTATTTCTGCTCCTACCCCTCGAGTATGTACCTTGCTGTCTCCCCTAAGAGCCAAAGCCCTTTTGCTGCACACAACTCGGTTCGTAAGTCTGGAAATGGCAACTTGCAGTCAAAACAAGGTTGCCATAAAGAGATTGCATATTACCCAACCCCGGCAAATGTCTTCCTACATCCGACTTCCCGACCGCTCCCGACGAGACAGTTCGGCGCCGCTCCGATCCAAATGGCACGACCGACCCGGCCTCATGCACGGCTCCTGCGGAACACATCCGTTTTCTGTTGTATAGGTTCCTCAGACCCTGTTATTTTTTATCCATCAGTCACGAAATATATTGCAGAAAGTACCCAGGCAGGTAAAAGTATCGTTGATTTCTGGCAGCAAGACTACAAGAGCTCCCGCGCATCGGGTGGCAGCCTTGCCAGTCGGTAAATAGACCAAGACTCTCCTTTTTTTCCGTGCTTTTTGACGATTCACATTAGACGTATCGCAAGCCTTAGTGGATCCGTGATTCTTAAAACGTCCAGACGGTCTTTGTTATTCCTAGTCGAGACTTGGGGTCCAGTACAATTCTCAGATGCTCCAGTGCCCGTCCCGGCAGGAGGCTGGCTACTCGCACGACAGTGCGGCTACAGGCTGGCATCTGTTGGTCTCGGGCGCTCTTCACCAGAGCCTCTCTGAATGAACAGCAGTCAACTGTCTGGAGAGTAAGCTGGCCAAGGTAAGTCTGATGGGGTTAGCCAAGCCCGCATCAGGCCTCAAAGTTCAAGTGCGGTAGCCGCCATCTAAAGAAGGCGCTTTGCAAAGTCCATACCTTAGTATCGAGACAGGAAAGAATAAGATGATACAATTACCTCTTAGCTCAGGTACCTGGCAGATTGGCATAAAAGAAATACAAAAAAAATGAGCTGCCCGTGGCATTATGTAGGACCACCAAATTCGAACTCGCACCCTTTGCAGGACCCAATTACACGTTGATACTTCCTCCACTAGGTCATATACACATTCAGGCGGTGCTCATACCTTCCATCCGAGAATGGATATCCTATAGACCTATGGGTGGAATGGCCGTGGTGAATTCTGGAATATTCCATACTGCACGTGACGCGTTCCGCTGGTACCAAGCACTGAATGAACCTCACCAGCTCATTCTTTCTATGGCCCAACTTAAGAGTCTGTAGAAAAGGTTTGATTCTACAGCTTCATAGGCTGTAGTTATGCTGTCATGGCATTAAGGATTCGAGTCGACTCTGAAGGCCCCTGGCGGTTTCCACAAAACCACCTCAAGTCACAACCAGTCACCTCAACATCATCAATATGAAATCAATTCTAGATTTCGAATTTGCCGTACACCTACTCTAGCCAGACCATTTCATAAGCTTGAAACGGTTCTGATATCTGCAGTCGTCTCAAGCTCAACAGAGCGACGTTCCCCCGTCTGAAGACTTCTATGTGCAATCCCACGTGCACAACCTCGCTGAATTGAACAACCGTTTGCCAAGTAGCATCAATCACGAAAGAGACTTTCAGCATTGATGATTTTCAAATGTTTACTTGCAACTTGCAAATCTAAGCCAAATCTTTTTGCCAAGCCAGGCAATTAACCATGACTCGAGATAAAGGCTTCTCGGGTTTTTATATGTAGCGACACGCCGACTTCAACTACAGTATCGGGAAGTAGTATATTAGAGTTCCTTAGAGCCCAGATTCAGCATCATAGGAATCGGTAATGCATGTTTAGCTAAGGAGAAAGGCCCAGTAACTTCTAGATTAGTGGACGTTGGTACAGGGGGAAAGGACTCGCTTATATTGTTCTGTAGATAAATTAAACACTCCTTCCTACTTAGTTATAGGTCCGTTCATTGAAAATCTCATTGAACGATTATTGATTAGGCTGTCTAGAGTTAGATTGTGGGGGTTGGATTCATTCATTACCACAGTGCCGAAATGTCTACTACTGGAGCGCGAGCTTTCTCTCACTTGCCTGATCCAAGACGTACTTAAACCCTCCATCCCAAAGACATGAGAGAGGTATACAGCGCAATTTCCAAACTATCCTGAACACCTAGATAATTTAGATACTCGAATCACCATGAAGCTATCCGTCCTTGCCGGCATCGCCCTCTTTAGCAGTTCAGCTCTTGGCTTGATGAGATGGGAATGTAGACAGACACCGAACTCTGGCTGGGGCGTAAGCCACTTCCTCATCCTCTTCATCTTACGCCCCTAGTGCTCTACGTCTCCTGGGCGGCGTAACTAGAATGATCTGGTCAAGACTCACTTCAGAATCCCGTAGGCTTCGAACTGCTCTCCGGATGACCAACGTCAGTGCACCACTTCAGCGTGTAACAGCAACGTGAGTTTTATTCCGCGAAGATTGCGCGTGTCGCGAATAGATACTGAATGGTATGAATGAACAGTGTCAGCGTGGTGCTCCTTGGAACAACGCCCGCGGATATGCGTAAGTCCCATAGCGGCTTCAACTCTTGCCCAGCGTTGTGTACATACTGATGGTGCTTGGTTCACTGCAGCAACGTAGATCTTGGGGATGCTTGCGACTGTTACTGCTGGCATTGAGGAAGACATATATAAACGCAGTCAACGCAATGCATTTGTACAGATTTTCTGTTCATAACAATACGAGAAACCTCCAATCTCCGTCTCAGACTTGCTTGACAGCGACGATATCAACATCCCGATGCCCAACTTGGACTTCCAAAGCAATATCTTCTCCTGATGAAAGCGCACGCGACAACCTCAGCTGTCCATCAACAAACACACTCCATGTCCCAGGCCCCAAGTTCCTAAGAACAGGCCTGATCGTCCTCGCCGAACCATCCCATGACCTCACAGTAAGTACCAACATCCTCTCCTCCTCGCTCCAATCCCCACGCAAGAAGTCAACACCATCAGCCAACGTAACCGCATCAACAAACGGCCGCGCCGATACCTCCTTCGCAGTCCAAGGTCGCTCCCAGATAATCTTCTGCCCGTCCTCGACATTCAACCTCGCGTACCCGATCGCCGCGTTGCCGGAAAAGGGGTCCATGTGCGTCCACCTCATCTCCTCGTCAAACGGCTCGTCATTGCGGAGATAATACAGCCCGCCGCGGTCCCACTTGGGGCCCAATTTCTCGTCCGCGTATTTGAGCAAGGCCGTCAACTCGGCGTCCTTGCCCAGCTCCGAGAGCCACTGGACGGTATACCCAAACATGGGCTTGGTATACGGAAAGCCTCCCTTCTTACCCGCCTCAGCCTCCTTGGCATTTCGCACCGCCCGTTGGAGCGTCTCGCGCGAGTCCGGCGCCGCGCCGTCCTCCTTGACCAGCTTCCTGAACTCGTTGCCGACGGTAGGCGGATTCAGACGGATATCACCTCCTTCCGTCTTAGTAACGTACCCGAGGGCCTGATCGTCGTAGTGAGACCTCACGACGGAGCCGTTCCACGAGTTCATAAAGGCAGAGCCCCACGCCGTCCACGCTGGATCTTTGGGGCGGATGGTGAAGTCCTGCTTAACCATCCACGCGTCCGGCAGGAGGCCATCGGAGCCGACGAGCCCTTTCTTGTCCCACGCGGCTTTGTACTTCTCCAAAACGTCGTCTACGACTGAAGTACCCAGGCGAGCGTCCCTCAGGCGCATTCCGATCAGCTTGCACAACTAGTCAGCCCATAACTCTTAGGCGTAAGTAGATATATGCCAGCACTCACGGGAAACTGGTTGCAAACCACAAACACCATATTCGGCTCACAGCAGACCCCAATCCATCTGTTCCCCTCCATCTCCTTGACAATAGCATCCTGCAAGCTACCCGCATCATACGAGAACTTCTCCGGCCCCATCCCAAAAAACAATGGATTCCACAAAAACTCCAACGACCCAGGCCTCTCAAACTCATCATCGTCAAACAACATCCCATACAACGCCACCATCATCAGCAGATGCCCGCTATACATGATATTCTCCCTCACAACGGGGTCAGCCCACGGCTTCCTAAGCTCCTTCAGGTCCGGATCGGTCGCGATCCCGGCCATGCTCGTGTTGAACCAGTACGCCCACACGGCGCGAAGGAGCATTTTGTGGATCGTCTGCCGTAAGAGCTTCTTGTAGATGCTACGGAGGGCCGGTTGGCGGTGGAAGTGCGCGACACCAGCGGCGTAGGCCATGGTCGCGAGCTGGTAGCGGTATGCGTCGAGGAATTCCTGGAGGGGCTCCTGCGAGCCCATGAGGTTCCAGTCGTTGTCGGGCTGGGTGACGAGGTTGTGGAAGTGGCGGAGGTGTCCTGCTTGTTCTCGTGTTAGTTTTGGGTGTTTGGATAGGTCTGGTGCTTGTGGCTGCTGCAGCTCCTGCTGGTGTTGATGCTTTTCGGTCGCCATTGTGATGGTTGTGGTTGAAGACATGGCCGCGATTCGGGTCGGTTTGCCGTGAGGCGGTTTGCTGGAACGGCGAGAATAATTGATTTTGATTTCTATGATGGCGCGAAACCACTACACTCGACCGATTACATCGCTTCTGTCAGAATGCGACGGACGTCATTGATATATCCAAAAGCTTCACGGGGTTCGGGTTTGACACGGGGCTATCTGCCCCATGATCGGCCGTAACAAGCCGGACTACACCGGACCGTGGACCCCGATCAACCGACATCAGACGAGTACCAACTTACGACGACCTAGAAGGAGTCGAAGGAATACAATCAAGTCTCCATCCTCGGCACTACTAGGCAGGGGTGTTGCATTGCCCGAGCGCCCGGGAGACTCGATGTCTTTCTTCCTGTTGGAGAAGAAGTCCCCGCGGGCGCGGACTTTAGTCGTAATGGAGCGGGGATATGCCTCCTCCGTGTCAGCATCCTTCTCGCAACTCCCCTCGTTCGCTTGGTTTTCGCCTTACTGGGAGGGTTCTTGTTGCCTAAAGAGGGTAATCGTAGTTGTTATGACCAATTGAAGGTCTCTATGAATTTTGAGCTGTCAGTTATAGGATCCCCTCTACAATACCTTGGTAGGGTGGCTTTCACTCGATAGTAACCGTGGTCACGCTTCTCCGCGAGGAGGTCCATGTGTGAAGTGTGCATTATCGAGTCCAAGACACCTCACTTGGACGTCTTGTAAATGTGGCCGAGAAAAGACGCCTGGATTTTAATCTGCAGGTGAGCGGAAGCTTGGGGATGAATAGGGAAGCAACAGGGCAAGAGGAAGAACATCTTCTTTAACATTTCATGAAACCACAGCAAACATGATATTACTAGCCATGGGCTTTCTAGACCCTCACATGCTCATCTTCAAGGATCAAAAGAACTTACTTGAAATGCGTTGGAATAATGCAACTCCTGAAGTGTCTTTATCGGCAAACCATGAAACACCCAAATCCTCACCCCGTACCCAAACTCCAAATTCAGTCCCAAACTCCGTCCGAAGCCTTTTTACCCAGTCCGTCATTTATCTTCGGTATCCATCATTGCAAACTCCCAAACAATCCAAGCTGTAGTTCTGCAATACCATCACCATCAAACACGACTCCTCACTCAAACTTGCCCGACCCAAAGAGCCCGTTAACAGCCTGGTGTCTCCTCTCAGCACCCTTCCACTTCCTCGCCTCCCTCCTCTTCTCATTCTCCTGGATCGCCGCCCGGCGCTCATTCTCTCTCGCCAAAGCACTAACACCAGACTTCTTGCTCGCGTTCTTCTTGATCTTGCCATCGTCGCCAAAACCGCCGCCGCCGCCGCCACGAGCAGAGAAAGCCGCAGCGCCGCCGTTGCTGGCTCCGCTGCCGCCGATACCGCCGCCGATGCTGCCGGCACCGCCGCTACCCTGCGAACTCAATACGGACGAGTTCGTCGTCGCGCGCCGGAGCAGCGCGGGGACCCTGAAGCTGCTGCCGCCACCAGAAGCCGAGGCGGCGGCGTTGGGCATAGCGAAAGCAAGCTTGGAGGACGTTGTAGACATGTTGGAGGATGATTGGCGTTTCATGGTGAGGCGGTCGACGACCATCTGGCGCGAGTTGGTGCGGCGCGGGTTCTTGCCTGGGGAGCGGTTCTCCTTGTTAGAGGGTTGCGCCTCCTCGTCGTCCGCCTCGCTGTCCGAGTGCGGGTCCGTGGCGGGGATCACCTCGTTCAGATCCTCCAGCAGGCTCGAAACGGACTCGCGAATCTCGCCCAGGTTGGAGGGCCTCTTGCCGTCCTTTGTCCTGCGCGCGTTGGTGGTGGACGGCGCGTTCGCGACGTTGGAGGCGAGAGGTGCACGTTGCGCTCCAGGCTGGCTATCTGGGACAGTGGTCTGCTGCTGCTGTTGCTCTTGAGATTGCGAGTCCTCTGTCTCCGTCGGCTCGGGCGCGAAATCGAGGAAGTCCATCTCCTCGTCGCTGCCACGGTCCTCAATGGTGCGGAGGAAGGCCTGGTTGCCAGGTTTCTCGGCAATCTTTTTGATGCGCTCATCGGCGAAGAGGGCCTGTTGCATCTTCTGGAACTGGCGACGCTTCAAACGCCGGCGGGCCTCACCGCCGTCGTCTGAATCAGAGAGGTCGTAGTCGGCACCGCGCTTGCGGCGGAGCATACCGGTGGTGATGTCGTGGAAGAGCTTGTCGACCATCTTCTCATCGCTCTGACGCTCGTTGTCACTGAGAAGTTTGTTAGCAGAAAACAATGTGACCAAGACAGAATACACTTACGCGTGAAGAGCAGCGAGTTTGCGCTCATCATCAGCAGTCATGCCGTTCTCGTCGTCAATCATCTCCTTGACGGAGGCCGCATCACTGTCGTCATCGCTGTCCTCGCCATCCGCACCTCCAAGTCCTGCATACTCATCCTCGGACTCGTCGGCCTGTTCCTCCACCATCTCCTTGGCCTTGCTCTTCTTGCGGTTGTACTCCTCCGCTTTCTTGAGCTGCTTCTGCTTCTTGACAGCCTCCTTCATGACGTTAAAAGCTGTCGTCTTGAAGCCGAACTCGTCTACCTCGGGACTAGCCCTGGAGTCCTCTACATCTTCGTCATCCGCGACAGCAGCTACGACATCAATCTTGCGGCGCAGTTTACCCCTCCGTACAAGAGGCGAATCCTGCACTGAATCGACCTCGGCGTCCCTGTCGAGGACCATGGTATCCACTGTCGAAGGGGGCGGCTCGACGAAGCGCTGCTTCAATGGCGTGTAATCTTGCGGCCCTGCATCCTGAGTGGCATCAATAGAAGTTTGAGTGAACGGATCGTCGTCACGCAGGAGACTTTCAAATCCACGCGCTTGGGATTGAGTGAAGTGCAAGTGTACGCCCTCCGCGGAATCCGGCTGTGTGTCGGCTCTCTGGGTATCGCCGCCCTGGCTGTCGAGAATCATGCTGTCGTTTTGTTGAGTGAGACCCATCAAGTTAGAGTCGGGAAGGCTGTCGAAATCCGGCATAGGGGACTGAGAGGGGATCGTGCCAGGAGCTACCTGGCTGTCGTCCATTGTACCAGCGAAGATTTGGGTAAGACCCAACCCAGCGGCTCCTGTAACGGGTAATCCGGGAATGAATGTCTTCTTCGCAGAGCGCAGTACCGAGGTGGGAACGGCGGGTGATTTGGTGTTGGGTGCAACAGGGGATTGTTGAGTTGCAGTCCGGGGTCTAGGCGTCGCCTCGATCCTGTCCTCGTCTTCGTCGTCCGAGATGATTTGGCTCTTCTTTGATCGACGGATGTTGCGCGTGGGAAGACCCATTTCGTCTTCGGACTCGGCATCATTCTCGACATCTTCTGCATCAGCCTCGGCTTCAGGGTGCTCTGAGCCGCTGTCATCAGCTTCGTTGTCAAACAATGCGACACCTTCCATCTCTACCTCGGAGCCATCTTCATCCATATCGGCATCCTCGTCTTCAGAGCCAGACAGCTCAAGCTCGACCTCAACGCCTCCCTCCGCCTCCTCCTCGGAACCGTCGTAGGACTCATCGTCACTGTCGTCCCATACGTCGAGCTCGCCATTCTTCCTCTTCTCCTTCTTCTCCTGCTTGGCAGCTGCTCTCTCGCGCTCCATAATTTCCTCAGCTTCCCTCCTGGCGCGGGAGACAATGTCCTCGACCTCTTGCATCTCGCGTTCACGCTCCTCAGCGGTCTGCACGACAATGCCCTTTGACTTGAGGTACTCAAGCCGCTTTTCGCGCTCGATCTTGGCTTGTTGGCGAGCGCGCTGCTGCAGAGTCATCTGCAATTGAGCCGTGGTGATTGTTGCCTTTTCGTATTTCCTCTTCCTCTCCTTGGTCGGCGATCCCACCCGAGCGAGGCGGCGAAGATTAAGTAGAGATCGAGAAGAATCTGCCTTGGTTCCCGGTGCCCTGTTAAAGATGGCGTCAAATTTGCCGTTTTTGGCGATGGCCAACTCGTCGTCGTCGTCAAGATCGATGACTGCATGGTTTACTGAGACTGTGGGCAGCTTGATGCGGACTTGACGTCTGGGTTTGACATCCTTGACGACAGTCTCTTCAGGAGGTGCAACGGCCTTGCCCTTGCCCTTGTCAAGTCTTCTCGATGCCTCGAAGACGTCGTCGAGGGAAATCATGTCACCGTCGTTATCAGAACCAATAGTTGGCTGCGCGATAGTCGTAGGCTCTTGAACCTTGGCAGGAGAAGCAGCCTTAGCGACGGGCGGGGAGCTGGGCGGTGTCTCGGGGTCCTTCATCTCAGCGTCGGTCTGGTGTACAGAGACAGGCGTGGTAGGGCGACTGGAGCTCGACAATTTGGGATCAGACTTGGGTTGAGCTCCAAAGTTGAAGCGCTGGAGGAAATCCGCCTTTGTGAACTTCTTCCTCGTCTTGGCCTCATGGGCAAGCTGCATGTTACGAGCCATGCGCTGGGTCTCGCGAGCCATCTCCTCGACGGCCTTCTTCCCGGCCTTCCTCGTAGGCCTAACAGCCTGGCTGAGCTTCCGACCGCCCTCGTCATCGGTGATATCGGAGACGTTACCGGCGTCCTCATCGTCGTCAAAGAGATCAACGTTGCTGATGGGCTCGCGTTCCATCCGCTCGGCGCGCTTCTTCTCCTCCTCGGCTTCGCGTGCGAGTCTCTCTTGTTTCTTGCGCTCGACGAGGGCCTGGAATCTGGCGTTCTTTGTAATTGCGGGGAGGGAATCCGAGTCGGAGGCGTCGTCTGCTGCTGTCGTGGCCGCAGGTCTGACAGGTGACTGCCGGTCCGGAGACACGAATAGTCCTGGGCTCGACCGCGCCGCTGGGCTCTGTGCTGGTGGCGGCGTGGTCTGTCTATCCTGCTTCCTTTGCAGCCGCCGCGGTGCTACCGGGATGTCGTCTTCCTCTTCCGCGTCTCCCATGGTCGCGTCCTCGTTCTCGTCCTCTTCGCCTGCATCGTCGTTGTTGTTGGACTCAAGTCGTCTTTGAATCCGGTCCATGAAGGTCTCGGGCTCG